CTCAGAAATAAATAAGCATTAAAAAAAATTTAGAAAGATTTGTTTTATAGATGTGCAAAATGATTTGTGCCACATTTCTAAAACCTTCATGAAGATGGTCAGGCACAATCACTACATTTTACATTAAACTCATCACAGAAACTTGATGGACTGTGACTACCTCTTAGCTGCCCCACCCTCTATTCACGGCCTCCAAATAGGTTTTGCTGGTAGCCAAGGATTGAATGGAAACCAGACACTCTGGATCATTCTGGATATATGGAATCGGAATTATTCATATGGCTCTTCTAAAGCATCTCAGGTACTAGGGGCCTCTGGGTGGCTTAGTTGGTTGAGCATCTGACCAGTTCAGGCCATGAACTCACAGTTTGTGGGTTTGAGCCCCATGTTGGGCTTTGTGCTGACAGCTCAGAGCCTGGAGCCTACTTCAAATTCTGTGTTTCACTCTCTCTTTGCCCCTCCCTGACTCATGCTCTGTCTCTCTCTCTCAAAAATAAATAAATGTTAAAAAAAAAAAAACTTTTTTAGGGGCACCTGGGTGGCTCAGTTGGTTAAGTGTCAAACTGGCTCAGGTCATGATCTCAGGGTTCATGGGTTCGAACCCCGTGCTGGCTCTGTACTGACAGCTCAGAGTCTGGAGCCTGCTTCAAATTCTGTGTCTCCCTCCCTCTGACCCTCCCCTGCTCATGCTCTGTCTCCTCCTCTCTCAAGAACAAATAAATATTAAAAAAAATTTTTTTAAAGCATCTCAGGTACTAGAGGATTTTTTTTTTTTTTTAGATGGTGGTGCTGAAAACTTTTCTCCTAAAATTCTGAGTATTGGATCCCCAACCTTCTGCAAAGAATTCTAGCCTAGGCCAAGTTACATAGCGCATAGGTGACTTTCGAAGGTGTGTGTGTGTGTGCGTGCGCATGTATGTATTGCTATTTAAGGAACTTATGAAAATAAAAGCTACTGTTTATTGAGCACCTTTTACAAGTTAGGCTCATTCTACCTTCACTCTTCATCTGTTACCAAATCAGGTTATCTTCCTCATGTGAGAGGTGAGGAAACAGATTGAAAAGAGATGGGTGGGTGGTAGGATGGGGATTTAGTTTGATGTCTTACTGTTATCAAATTGCATGTATTGTTTCTATTCTAGCACTCTAGCTCTGCAGGTTGCCTCTTTGTTCCGGGCCCAGAAAATTTCTCTGCCTGTATCTTCTTGTGTTGTAGCTTCCTGTCCTTTTTTATATTTGTTAAAAACAAAGTGATATTGGATTTAAAATGTATTATTAACAGACATAGTTCAGAAGAGAGAGCTAAGTACGGTATATCTTCTAACCTAATAAAGCCCAAATTGCAATAGTTGCCTTGTCTGACTAATGCTCTGAACCAATTTGTATAAGCATTGCTGGCTTTGGTGAATGTCAGGTTGGATTGAATCTTTGCAAAGTGAACATTCATAAATAGCTAGAATGTAGTTTGATCTACCCAAATTGAGAGTCTTAAAGAATAAATGGTAGAAATTTGCACTTCAAACCAGACAGTTCTCTGAGCACCTGAGTTCTTTGGGAAGATAAACAAGATTCCCTCTTCTTGTCTGTTTTTTCCTTGTTTCATTTTTACTCCTTCTTAATTGTGAAATATACGCAGCATCAAATTTGTCATTTTAGCCATTCTTTTTTTTAATGTGTATTCATTTTTGAGAGAGAGAGAGAGAGACAGAGACAGAGACAGAGACAGAGCATGAATGGGGGACGGACAGAGAGAGAGGGAGACATAGAATCTGAAGCAGGCTCCAGGCTCTGAGCTTTTAGCACAGAGCTTGACATGAGACTGGATCTCATGAACTGTGAGATCATGACCTGAGCTGAAGTCAGACACTTAACCAACTGAGCCACCCAGGCACCCCCATTTTAATCATTCTTAAGCATACAATTCAATGGCATTAGGTATATTCACCATATTGTGCAATCATTATCACTTTCCATTTCTAGAACTTTATTATTATTCCAAGCATAAACTCTGTTAACTATTAAATGGTAACTCCTCTTTCTTCCCTCCTGCTGTGTTTTGATGGATTTTTGTTGTTGTTTTGCCTCAGTTAGATAATTAGCTAACTTTTTCCCTCTGCTATCAAGATTCCAGCCTTTAGTAATTTATTATAAGTTACTAATTTTCTGCTTCTAATCTGCTGTGGCCTAAGAAACATCACGTAGCTTATCAAAATTGTATGTAAAGTAGAAGCTAACAGAACTTCTTATCCCTAAAAGCCTTTCCTATACAGAAAAGAGCTAGGACTTTATGATGACTATTTCAACTGTTAAGATACCTTTTCCTTGCTCAGTTCCTAGACATTTCCCAAAGAGTTTATATTTGTAAGTCAGAATTCTGGTAAAGTGGAGTATTACTGATTTTAAGAGAATAGTAGATTAATAGATGAATAACCAGAAATGCCTTATATTTTGTATTTTCAAAAAAACCCTTTCATTTACCAAGTTACCCCCTAGTTAGTTTCATTTTAAAGAGAAGTTTTATAATATGAGTGAACTGTGGTAATATGACTATAAATACCTTTTAAGAAGCATCGCTATGGAGAAAGGGAGGTTCATTCACATGCAGTAATCGGTGTTTCCACGAGCTCACTTGGACCTGACATGCTTTTCATTGGTGTTTGTTTTAATATCTAAGATTCTTCTTTTACAGGTATTTGATTTCACTGCCATAGACTTGGCATCTGAGACTGATGAAATTCCAGATATTATACCTTTGGAAGAGGAGAATGGATCAGATCATTCACATGCTAATAGCCCTGAGTCCTCTCAGGGCAAAAAGTTGAATAACTAACAAGAAAATATTCCTTTTGGCTCAATACACAATTTGTGTCACATTAAACTTCATGCTTGCTTGTGTGTTTATTCCTGAGGCTTTGGGGATTAATCCATTGTGGGTTAATCTGTTGGGGTTTTGTTTTGTTTTGTTTTTTTTTGGCTAATTGGTCTTAATTGTGATGAAACTGATCAAAACTTGTGTAAGAGAACCTAGTTCTGTATCGTATATCATTTTATATAAATCTTCAAAATTTAATAATTGAAATGCCTATAATAAAAATGGTGCTGTATAATTTCGAGTTAGTGACTTCTTTTTTTAATATTGAAGTAGTAAATGTTTGTTTTTGTTTTGATTTTGGCCTCCCAGTATGGGGGTGTCTTACTGGGTCTGTAGGTCAGGGTTTTTTTGCTTTCTCCTAGCCTAGGGGTGGGCATCTGAAAACAAGTCAACTGGGAGGAAGTATATCATGATGAGTAAAGATTGTGGATTTTAATCTTAGCTCTGCCACTTAAGAGTTGTGTGACTTTAAACAATTTACATAATTTCCCTGTACCTCAACTTCCTCATCTGTAAAATGGGGATTTAGTTTGATGATAATAATAGGTTTCTTATGAAGACTAAACAAATTAACATTTGTGAAAAGCTTAGAGCAATGCCTGGCACAGAGTAGTATTAAATAAATTGTAGAAACAATGGTTAGACCAGTAGCAATGAGCATCCCTAGTGTTTAAAAAAAAAAAAATAAAAGTTTCGGGAGAAGTTTTGCTCTAATAAGAAATGGAGTAGTAGCTAAAAAGGCATTGGGGTCAATGGATTTTTTTTTTTTAAACAATGGAAATACAGCATGTTGGTATACTTACAGGAAGAATTGGTGATGTAGGAGAGAATGAGACAGATGCTGGAGGAAACTCGTTGAGTAGGAGAATATGAACGTGACCTGATGAATAAGTCGAAGTACTAATCTTAGGGAGGTGCACCTTGATTCATTCAGATTAATGACATTAATATGGGCAACGATATAGGCAGGTTGGTAAACTGTTGATAGAAGGTCCTTTTGGAAGAATCTATTAACTAAGGACAAAAGACATCAATGAGAAGAGGAGAAAGGAAGCACTGGACATTTAATGGAAGAAGATATGCACAATTGTGTGGGGAGTGATATCTGGGAAAAATAGGGTGGGGAAGGCAGGCCTCAGAGCCCATTTGAGTTGTCATGAATTTTGAGTGACAACAGGCATCATGATTGTGTTTACAGGCTAAGTTGCAGGTGTGGGGTAGGCAGAAAACTGGAAGTAATAGGGACTTGGGTTCTGCCAAATAAATCTGGCAAAGAGAAAAAGGGGCTAGATTGCTGAGAAGAGTTCAAGGAACTGAAAGGCCAGGACATTGAAAGGTCATCTAAGTGGATACTGAAATCAGCAAGTTATCCCGAGAGTAAGGTGGGAGAGATAAGTAAGTCTAAACCTAAAAAATGAGGTCCAGCGCCCATCTTATACATGACCTCCAAAAGCAAGAGTTGTGGGAGAAAGCATAACATTCAAAGGAGCTGGTTTTAGTGAGGCAATATCGCCAGAGTTGACAATAAGAAATAAGCAGAATACCCCTTCCCCTCCCCTCTCCTCCCACCCCGCGCCCATTTCCAGACCCTGTTGTATACGGGGTGTGAGGGAGATAAGTCATCAGTGGAGAGGGTTGCTGGAGAAAGCTGTATACTTAGGGGAGAGCCAGATTTCTTACACCAGGAAGATGAAAGGAACATTTAGCATTTGAGGGCATACAAGGTTTTACTAACAATTGACCTGGGGCTTAGTGGTTAGATCTCACAGCTAGTGAGACAGGTGAAGATGGAAACCAATGCTCTTAAACTAGACCGAGTCACAGTCCTAAATCTACGGCTTTTAGACGACGAAATAGACCTACATGAGCAAAAAGAGTCACAGACACTAAAAATCAGAAAGCGCGAAGCTGCACAGCCCTGCAAGATACTTCTTGCAGTTACCCAAGCGCAAGAGTTCAATGGCAGCGCAACGCACTGTGGGTCTTGTAGTTTTTCGGCTGGGCCTGCGGGGAAGGGAAGGAGAGAAGGGTGCTTTGCATGGCGGGAGATATAGTCGGCTGAGGAAGTCCCTCCTCCACCGGAAGCCGCGCTGCGCCGGCGTCTACCGCTTTTCCGGAAGCGCGGGAGTCTTGGTCTGTGTTGGCTTCGCTTAGGCAGCTCTGCTGTAGTACCGTTAGGGACTCTATTTCCCTGGGATTTTACGTCCATTTGAGGTGAAATGACTCCGGGCGAGAGAGGAACCAGCGGTGGCAGTGGAGGGGCCGCCACTCCCTCAGGCTGCCCGTAGGGAGGGCGCATGAAGGCCCCCTGAGTCGTTCAGGCCTGCGCTTAGTTCCTTTGCAGTGATACTGCCTCCCGCGAAGATGAGCTCGGTGTGGGTCACCAATTTCGAGAAGGAGCATCTCTGGATGTATCTGCACGCGCTCGGTTTCGAGCCAGGCCCGGCCACCGTTGCCTCCGGAAAGATCGTGTCTCACACGCACCTCGGAGTGTAAGGAGCCTGGAGCTGGCGGGGCGGGGGAGTCCGAGCCCAGGCGCCCCGGTGTGACCCATCCTTCCGCGTTAGGTTGACGAATCTAGTAGCCGAGCGGTTATTGTGTGCCAGCGGTGGCTACAATGCCCTTGCTCCCAGTGGCGGCCAGCCTGGTTGCTGAAGCCGACAATTACGGGATGTGCCGGGAGGGCTTTATAGGGGAGTGATTTCTGCAATTGGGACCAAACTGGTGAGGGACCGCTTAATCCTGCTTTAGTGGTGATGCTGGGTGGTCTGTGACGTTGAGGGAGGGATGGCGAGTTGGCAGTGGAATTAGGATTCCAGAGAGACTTTTAATTTCAAGGTGGCTCTTTAGTTTGTAATTTTTACTTTTTGAATTAGCAAAAACTGTTTTCCGTAGTTCGCAAAAAATAGAAAAGAAAAAGGATATTAGGATGGCAAGTACAAGTCCCTTTTCTACATTGCCACTAATACAATAGTTATCATAAATCTAAATACTTTGTTTATATTTCTGTGTCTAAATTTATTAACTGTAGAGTATTATTTTACCCACTATAGGTAAAGAGAAATTTGAGATAGGTCATTTCCTGTCCTCAGCCTTTTGACTTTTCTGATTGTTATTTCAGTTCTTTTAGCGGCAGTATTTATTAAATAAAAAAAAATTTTTTTTTTTAATTTTAGAGAGAGATGGAGCGTGAGCAGGAGAGAAGGGGAAAGAGAGAGAGACAGACTGACAGAGAATGAGTATCTTAAGCAGGCTCCACGCTTAGTGCCCAGCTGGAGTCCCTAACCCTGGGATTAAGACCTGAGCTGAGATCTAGAGTCAGACACTCAACCACTGAGCCATTCAGCTGCCTCATAGATGTCCTTTTTTTTTTTTTTTTTTAAAGATGTCCTCTTTATAATGCTTCAAGCATGAGTGTACCATCAACTTTACTTAAAACATTTTTTAAGACTTTTTTAAAAATTCATCTATATACGGTAAAATTCTTTTTGAGTGAAATCCTAAGATTTTCTAGTTTCTGTGCGGAAGTAGTTATGTAACTGCTTATAAACGCTTAACATACATGATCCAGCAATTTCATTCCTGAGTATTTGCCCTCAAGGTTTGCATTTTGGAAAAATCATTTTGATTGTATTACAGAGAATGGATTAGAGGGGGAATTAGAACTTTGCAGTTAGCCTAAACTAAGCCAGCAATGGGAATGGAAAGAAAAGGTGATTCGTTTACTTAACAGGTATTAGTTGAACCCACTATTGGACCTAGATATACACTGGTGAACAGAATAGAAATATTTTCCCTTACAGAATTTCAGACTAGTGGATGAACAAACCTTTATTTAACAAATATCTTATTAAAAATCATAATAAGTGTCAAAGTGAAGACAATAGGATACTATGTGAAAAAATACATGGTTTGAGAGATGATAAGAAGGTAGGAACTTGATTTGTGTTTGTTGAGGAAGAGAAACATTTCAAGGACAAAAGAGTTGTTTGACAGAGGAATAAGCATGGGACTTTTAACTCTTTTTTTTTCAACTGCAGAACATAGCTTTATGTGTTCATAGAAGGAGTAGTCACGTATATTTGCCATGCATTACAGTGCTTCACAGTTCCTTTTGTAATTGCCTAACCCCTAAGCAGTTAGTTTCTTTTTAGGGTCCGAAAATAAGGAACCACCCAATTGAGATATCCCTTCAGATCATTGTTGACAATGTATTGCACATGGAAATATCTCAATTCCCTGTTCTAAATATTAAAAATATTTTATATTAAAAAAGTTTTTGTGGGATGCCTGAGTGCCTCAGTTGGTTGAGCCTCCGACTCTTTATTTTGGCTCAGGTCATGATCTCACAGTCCAGAGATTGAGCCCCAAATCAGGCTCTGTGCTGAGCGTGGTGCCTGCTTGGGATTCTCTCTCATCTCTCTCTCAAAAAAAAAAAATTACATTAGCATATAATTAGCATAGACTATCCTTAGATATACTCTATTATGTTCTAATGAGTTTCTGTTTTTGATAATGTCTTCAGTTCCATCTGAGACATTTCCTTTATAGTTATTTGGTTCCTTTGCTTTTAACTTTTTTTGATAATCCATTGGCAAGCTGTTCTCTTTTGCACCCATGCAAATGACCTTGTTACGCTAGTGTAATGGGGGAGCACTCTCATAATCTTTTTTTATCTGATAACTTTGGCAGGTTATTTCTTTTCCTTCTTGACTGTAAACTTTAACTTCTTTTGGGATATGTGTTCCATTTTTTTCCCCTTTTCATTTATCCAGAGAACTTAAATGGCTTTTTTCTTTCTTATTTTTTTAACTTAAAATTTTTTTTAGTGTTTTATTCTGAGAGAGAGAGAGACAGCAAGACAGCGTGAGCAGGGGACGGTCAGAGAGGGAGATATAGAACCTGAAGCAGGCTCCAGGCTCTGAGCTAGCTGTCAGCACAGAGCCCGATGTGGGACCCGAACCCATGAACTGTGAGATCATGACCCGAGCTGAAGTCAGACTCCCAACCGACTGAGCCACCCAGGCGCCCCTATTTTTTTTTTTTTAACTTTTTAATGTTTGTTAATTTTGATAGGCAGAGTTTCAGTGAGGGAGGGGCAGAGAGAGGGGCACAGAATCTGAAGCAGGCTCCAGGCTCTGAGCTGTCAGCACAGAGCCTGATGTGGGGCTCGAACTCATGAAATGCAAGATCATGACCTTAGCCAAAGTCAGATGCTGAACCAACTGAGCCACCCAGGCGCCCCTTAAATTGCTTTTCTCATTTTCCATTCTACTGCTCTGCCTTCACTGCTAGGCCTTTGAAAAATGGTGGCTATATCTCTGTGCCATGTTTTACATATTTTGCCTTGGGAATTGCCAAAGTCTAGCTTAGAATCCTGCAGGTAGGAGATGTAGTGGAACACCATTATCTGAGGCAGATCCTTTCCATCAGCAGGTTGTTGCTGTAGAGGAGGTTCAGAAAACTCTCCTCCTCCTGGCTGTGACAGTTCCTGAGTTTTCTGTCTTACCAGACACCAAGGGTTGAGACAGAGCTGTGAGGAGTAGACATCCATTTTAGAACAGTGGCTGCTGACTCTAGCCCAGTGACTGCCCTACTGCCCTTAGATTAGCTCTTGATTCCTCACAGCATTTCTTACAAGGTTTAGTTTGTTGTTATTTTTAACATATTGTATTTTTTTTTAGGTGTTGTCTTGATTAGTTAGGGAAATCAGAAAAACTAAAACTCTGAAAGACTTGCTAGAATTGCATTATATGATGGTGGTTCTGGGGTTAAAATGTAATGGTAAAGACACTGGACTCAGGTCAGAAAACAAGATTTTAGATCACTGCTCTTGCACATCCCAGTTATATGATTTTGGGTAATTTTCACAAACCTCTATAAATTAAAAAATTTTCATCTTTGTAATGAGAATAATCAAGCTATATTCTAATGTCATAAAATAATCCATGGAAAAGCAGGTAACACAGAACTTCATGGTTCTGGTGAAGATTAGATCAATTATTGCCTCTAAAAGGCTTAAAATAATACCTGGGAAATGATAAACTATTATTAGTTATTTTTATTGTAATTCAGTAAATGTTGGTTTGTATCATCTTCACGTGTCATAGGCCAAAGTTTTCTCCCTACCTAATTAGGCTTTTCTTCTTTTGTAGAATAGTCTCATTGCAATAAAGGCAGTTCTACGAGTTTTCTTCTATTTCATCTGTATTTTCAGAATCAGAAAGTAAAAGTTTGTTTTTCTTATTTATAAAAATGTAGATGAATGAAAAATTAATTTGCTTTGACCTCTTGAAGAGAACGGAAAATATTAATTTTTGTTAAACTCTTACACAGCTTATGATGATGTTTACATTTATTAACCATTCCCCCCACCCCCCACCCCGCTTCTATTTCTTTTTAAACTACTAGGAACATGTTTGACAAGCTGAATCGTGATGCCTTTCAAATTGTTTCTTATTTTTTGTTCCAAACGTTGGACAAATCTCTCACCAAAGAAGTTTTCAAGTGAGTCAAGTTACTTTTTTTTTTTTTTTTTTTTTAGGTAGTCATTCTCAAATTTGAAAAGAGCATATGCTTTTGTATAAGCCAGAATTTCAACTTTGGCCTTTCACTGTTATTTTGGATGGTTGTCACACAAATCAGGTTTGAGTCTTAGAAATTTAGTGCCTAAGTTTTGTAAATATGAGTGATTTTTCTTTGGCACTTACCTTAAAATCATTGATAATTTCATGGATACGATAGATTTTGTTTTATAAAATTATTTCGTAACATTCTTCATAATTATTAGGCGAAACAGTTAATTGGTACCAGTCTATCTATATACTCACTTTGGTCTTACTTTTGTTTATTTTTTGTTGATTACCCCCTGCCTTACTCCTTTTCATGTAGGCAGTGTTACTGGTTTTATCTCTATTTAGTTTTATTTAACACTTTATTTTTTAAATCTATTTTTACTTTTAGGTCTCTGTAAATCATTATTTTTGTCACTGATATATAAAAGTGTCAAATGCTGTAGGTGAAAATCATTCCTATTAAATTTAGTCTCATGTTAGATACTGTTGAATATTTAGTAGTTTGAGGAGGACATAAAAATGTGAATACCCACTAACCTTGGTTCCAAGTTAGTTTGCATGTGATTTGGGATTCCTCTGTCAGAAAAAGTGTTAAAATTTGTTTTAATATTTATATTGTGCCATTAATCTCTTAAGTAGAAAAGCAACAAGTAAATCCTTTGTTTAGGCATTGTTATTTTTGATAATTTATTCTTACTATTTTGTCTTCAGTTAAAGTTAGGAGTGACTAGGAGAACAGGTATTTTTAAAACATTTTTTTTTGGAAATCTATATCATTAAGCTGTAGGACTTTGTCTGCCCCAATAAAAAAATATATTTTCTGATTTTTTTTTCTGATGATAAACAAAATATAGCTCATTTTAAGCAATTCAAGAAATGCAAAAAATATAAAGAAGAAAGTAAAAATCATTCCTAAACTCACAAACTAGAAAATATCACTGTTGACATTCTAGCCTTTTAGTCTGTTTATTCCATGCATACTTATTTTTTTTTATATGACTATAGACTATATGTTATGCTATAGAAATATAAAAAAATTTGCCTCAGGATACAAATTTATCAGGGGAAAGCAATAGGTAAATTTTATAGTCTGTTATTTTTGACTAAAGCAGAGGCAAAACCTTTTAATAATTTAATAACTTGTTTAACCACAAAACAGTAGCAAAAACTGATTATGACTAGGAGTCAAAAGCTCTTAGGTCATTCCTTTTGTACTCTTCCTGTGTAACTATTTATGTTTCTCTCTCCCTTTCTCTCTTTTCTTTTTTTATTTATTTATTTCTAGGAGAGAGAGAGAGAGAGACAGCGTGAGCAGGGGAGGGTCAGAGAGAGAGGGAGTCACAGACTGAAACAGGCTCCAGGCTCAGAGCTGGCAGTCAGCACAGAGCCCGACGCGGGGCTCGAACCCACGATCCGCGAGATCATGACCTAAGCGAAAGTCGGACGCTTAACCGACTAAGCCACCCAGGCGCCCCTCCCTTTCTCTCTTTTCTAGGCTTAACATACTAATTTGTTTATACCATGTTTATGCATTAGTCCAGTGAATCCATAGACAGTGGGGTCTTTAGCTGATTCATAGTAATTGTAAAGGTGATTTATTCTTTCACTTAACATATCTATTCACTGATGATTTACAGTAAACTGACCTTAGCCTTATATTTATAAAGAAAAAGACCCAATTTCTCATAAGTTGGTGTCTTTCTTTAGTTAAAGTCTACAAATGTTAGCCTTGGTTCATTTAGTGCTAATGTTTCTAGTATAGGAGATAAGTTTCACTTTTAAAAATTTTGCTGAGTTTTCTTGTTTATAATCCTAATGCTTTTATATTTGTTTTTAAGGCTTTGTTGGCCTCCATTTGACCAAAAAAGTGACACTGAGTTCCGGAAACATTGTTGTGAATGGTTAAAAAAGATTTCTGTAAGTATTGTCTTTCTGGAAGATGCAAACTTAAAGAAGTTAGAAACTACATTAAATTTTTTGTTCTGGCTTTATTGAAGTATAATTATACATTAAATTTTTGGAGGTGAAATCTTTTTATTTCTCTTATGTTCACAGTATAAGAGCAAGGAAGTATTTGTTAGAATAACACTTTTTGATGGTTTGGTTAGGATTCTGTATGTTTCTAGGAAATCTGCTATACTTTCTAGATGCCATTGGAAATAGGCTTTCAAGTTCCTAGGATTTTATATCATAGTTTATGTTTAAAGAAAACGTTTTTTGACCATACATAATTTTAGCTTGTGTCCCCAAATAGTATCAGTAATTGTGGCTTTATATTGTAATTGTTTTTTGTGACCAAGTCCACTAAAAATTTAGAAAGATTCAAATAGTCAGCTTCTGGTTCAAGTGGACTAATCCTGATCATTCCTATTATGCTACAAAAACAGGATGATGTAAATATAAAGGTTATTATTGATAAGGTCTTCAAATCATCTTATTTCTTTTTTCCATAGGCTGAATGTGGAAGTAGCTTTCCTCAAGTTGTTGGTTCACTATTTCTTTCTCCTGGTGGTCCTAAATTTATTCATCTGATGTATCATTTTGCAAGATTTGTAGCAATAAAATATATAAAAGCCCATTCTAGAAGTAAGTTACATTTTTAGCAGGACTTGTTTTGTTTTGGGTTTTACATTTTTATTGTTTTTCATAATATGTAAGTTATAAAGAAATTTTAATACAATAAGATAAGATAAAAACAATAATTTACCTCAAAAGACATATAGTTAATATTCTACTGGAACTGTAGTTTGAAAGCTTGTAATGAATGTAAGTAACTATCCAGATTATTTTATTATGTTATAATACAATGGTTGGGAAATATTTTCTGTATAAGACCAGATGGTAAATATTTTCGGCTTTGTGGACCACAGAGGTCTCTTTCACATATACTTCTATTTTTTTTTTTTTTTAAAATACTACCCTTAGGGGCGCCCAGGTGGCTCAGTTGGTTAAGTGTCCGTTTCTTGATTTCAGTTGGGTCATGATCTCATGGTTTGTGAGTTTGAGCCCTGCAACAGGCTCTGTGCTGACAGTGCCGAGGCTGCTTAGGATATTCTCTCTCTCTCTCCCCCTCCTACCCATCCCTCCCACCTCTCTGCTTTTCTCCCACTAATGCTGTCCCTGTCTCTCTGTCTCAAAGTAAAACTTAAAGATAGAATATAACCTTTTAAAAACATAGAAAGCATTCCTAGCTTGCTACCTCACAGAACTAGCCAGAGGGCTAAATTAGACTTGGCAGGTTATAGTTTGCCTCTACTACATTGTATTAAATGTTGTGTTGTGTGAGGTTTACTTTGGCTACTGTCAATGTGTTTAATTTTTTTGTTAGAAATTGCTGTTTTAAAGGGATTTGATCTGTTTCTTCATTCATGGAAACAAAATACTTGATTTTTAAGCTAAGACTTAAAAAGCATCCTTAAAAGAATGCTATTTGTAGTTTATTAGATATGCTCTTCTGTTTAATTGGTTTATGCTTGGGGCGCCTGGGTGGCTCAGTTGGTTAAGTGTCCAACTTCAGGTCATGATGTCACAGTTTGTGGGTTCGAGCCCCGCGTCAGGCTCTGTGCTGACAGCCAGCTCAGAGCCTAGAGCCTGTTTCAGATTCTGTGTCTCCCTCTCTCTCTGACCCTCCACTGTTCACGCTGTCTCTTTCTCAGAAATAAATAAAAACATTAAAAAAATTGGTTTATGCTCATAAAACATGGGTAAGAAAATACAGAAAAGTGGATTCAACAAAACACCATCCATCTTCCAATTTCTGCAGACAACCATTGCTGACATTTTATGTCATTTATTTTCTTATAGCATTAAAACTTTTTTTATACATATTATTTCTATACATTTTAATTACTTTGAATAGGTAATATTTTTCATGATTCAAAAAATCGAAAGGTATACAAATTTATCTTTTTCTTCTGTGCTCTACCTAGTTTGCCTTCATAGAAGCAAGCAGTGTAATTCACAATACAGGCAAATGCGTGTGTAATGTATATTTATATATTATACATATATTCTTTTTTAAAATTCTAAATAGCAACATGCATTGGGTTTTGAATCTTGTATCTTTCACACAACAGTATATATTGGAGATCATCTCGTATCAGTTTATAGAGCTTCCTTCCTAAATGCTCTCTTTTTAGAACTGTATATTTGAATGGGATATACTGTAATACATATATACTTAATTAAAAATTTTACATTATATATATTTCTAATTTTTTATTTTATGTATGTATTTATTTAATTTTAATGTTTTATTTAGTTTTTGAGAGAGAGAGAGAGAGACAGCATGAGCAGGAGAGGATAAGAGAGAGAGGGAGACACAAAATCCAAAGCAGGCTCCAAGCTCTCTGAGCTAGCTGTCAGCACAGAGCCTGACGCGGGGCTCAAACCCACGAACCATGAGATCATGACCTGATCCGAAGTCGGTTGGACACTTAACCGACTGAGCCACCCAGGTGCCCCCTTGATAGGTTAAAATCTATCAGGGTAGTTTTAATTTGTATCTCTCTTATTATTTAGTTAGATTGAAAATTGTTTCCTATATTTAAGAACAATTTATATTCTTTTTTAATGTTTTATTTCTGAGAGAGAGAGAGACAGACAGTGTGAGCAGGGGAGGTCAGAAAGAGAGGGAGACACAGAATCTGAAGCAGGCTCTAGGCTCTGAGCCAGCTGTCAGCACAGAGCCCAATGTGGAGCTCGAACCCGCGAACCATGAGATCATGACCTGAGACGAAGTTGAATGCTTAATCAACTGAGCCACCCAGGCGCCCTGAGCATTTTATATTCTTCTTGTACTCTATAATTGTCCATTTTTCTCTTAAGTTACTGCTCTTTTTCATTTGTAGGTGCTCTTAATGTCCTTTCTCTATGATGTGATATGTAAACCTTTTTTTCAGTTTATATTCTATGCATGATTTTTTAAAAATTATACACGTGATCTTGCTATATAAATATTTGCATATTTAAAATTGAATGCAACATAAGCATTGTTACCAGTTTTTCTTTTAGTAGATGTTCTACTCCTATTACATGTAGCCCAAACTATTTTATAAGAAATCTATGTGGTTGGATTTAGCAAGAGTTTACTGTGCATAAGGCTTCGAAGCATGAATTGTCCTATTTCTGATTTGAAGCAATTCCAGTCAACATGTTCAGTCTCTAGATGACTTCTACATTCAGTAAACTAACCGCCAGTTAAATATTTAGAAATTGTGACGGCGCCTGGGTGGCTCAGTCGGTTAAGCATCCGACTTCAGCTCAGGTCATGATCTCACAGTTAGAAGGTTCAAGCCCTGTGTCAGGCTTTGTGCTGACAGCCATCTCAGAGCCTGAAGCCTGTTTCAGATTCTGTGTCTCCCTCTCTCTCAGACCCTCCCCTGCTCACGCTGTCTCTCTCTTTCAGAAATAAATAAAAAAACATTTTTAAAAAATTTAGAAATTGTGGTTTCTTTGGGGGTAACACTAGGACCTGGATTAGTAGTGCTAAGTGCAATGGGGTGATCCCTGTTTTCCAAAATATCCATTTTTATTGTAATGAATCATCCTAGAGCAGGATTACAGCTGAAAATGTGGGCTCTGAAATGTTTGGATTGATTGTTTTCAGGGTCTGCTTTGATCATAAGTAACATAGTTAAGAATTATTTGAGAAGTGGAGACTGGTTTTATTTGGTTGTCCTATTAATCTTACTAGGTAGGAAAATAAACTGATGACAGCAAAGGTGATCTCACCTCATCTCTTAATTGATTTCCTTCCTTTGTTGCAAAAAGATCATGTTAGGAAGTTCATATATAAGAAAGTATTTGTTCATGTCTGTATCAAGCTGTGATAATAAAAATTATTTGGAACAGATGTACGCTCAAAGTTTTTAATTATGTAAAAGAACTTAACTTCAGATACCCTTTTTTAGTTGCCTACTTAAAAGGTTTCCTTGTTTTTGTTAAAATTAATTGTATCTGTGTATGTGGCATACCTGCTTTTAAGGAGTTGTTAGTTGTATGAGTTGTTAATCTCTTAAAATGAATACATTTCAGCCTTTTGGATATCTGTTAGCTTTAAGTCAAAGTTTTCTGTGATCTTATTTGTGTTCCATATAGAATCATCTGTACATTTTACGGAGACATTTAATGTAAAGCCACAAGATATGCACAAATGCATTGCCAGATGCCATATAGCACGCAATAGATTTTTACATATTTTGCAAAGAGAAGATTGTGTTATCCGAGAGTATCAGGAAAATGCACAGTAAGTAATACTTGGGTAGTTAGAAAATGAAATTTCTGTTCTTTTTGAGCAAATGTCATCAATATACTGTCGGTGGCTATAATCCATGTCTACCTCAGAATCTTCCCAGTTTAAAGCCAGATAACTACTTTAAAAAAAAAATGTTTTATTTATTTATTTTGAGAGAGAGAGAAAGAGATAGAGCAAGCAGGGGAGGGACAGAGAAAGAGGGAGATAGAATCCCAAGTAAGATCCAAGCTATCAGTGCAGAGTCTGATGCGGGGTTCGAAGTTATGAACTATGAGATCATGACCTGAACCAAAGCCAAGAGTCAGATGCTTAACCACCTGAGCCACCCAGGCACTCCAAAGTCAGATAACTTCTGAGTAAGAGGTTTTATTTTTTAACGTAGGCTGCACACTCAATGTGGAGCCTAGTGTGGGGCTTGAACTCATGACCCTAAGATCAAGACCTGCGCTGAGACCAAGAGGCAGATGTTTAAGTGGCTGAGCCATCCAGGCACCTCCTCAAATAAGATAATTAAAAAATATGAATACTGTACATTAAAGTTTTGAGAAAGGGAAAATATTACCTTAGTTTAAAAATTTAGTATCTTAGGTGTTTTTCCTTCTTATAACATGGATTTACATCTTTAAGCTATAATTATAGTGCTCATTATATTTTGTATCCTTTTTGCTCTTCATATTTCATTTTGTAAATTTTTCCATATTGCCATAGTATTTTGCTTTCTTAAAAAATTTTTTTTAACGTTTTATTTATTTTTGAGAGAGAGAGAGAAACAGAGTGTAAGTGGGGAAGGGGCAGAAGGAAAGACAGAGACACAGAATCCGAAGCAGGCTCCAGGCTCTGAGCTGTCGGCACAGAGCCTGACATGGGGCTCGAACTCACGGACCGTGAGATCATGTCCTGAGTTGAAGTTGGATGCATAATGGACTGAGCCACCCAAGCACCCTGTATATTGCTTTTATTTACTTCTTTATTTGCTAAAATTTAAAAAAATGTTTTTAAATTAAAAATTTTTATTTTTAATTTTTTAAGGTGTATTGCTTTTAATATGTAATACTTTATTGAATATCTATTAAGTAGATACTCCTATAAGTAGGTATTCCATAGTTTCTTTAACCATGTCATACTATTTTATATTTAAGTTCATTTTGTCAGCAAATTTTTTTTTTTAATGTTTTATTTATTTCTAGAAGAGAGAGAGAGAGAGACAGCATGAGCAGGGGAGGGACAGAGAGAGAGGGAGTCAAAGACAGAAACAGGCTCCAGGCTCTGAGCTGGCAGTCAGCACAGAGCCCAATGCGGGGCTCGAACCCATGAACCGCGAGATCATGACCTAAGCGAAAGTCGGAGGCTTAACCGACTAAGTCACCCAGGCGCCCCTTGTCAGCAAATTTTTATTTGAGTTACCTCTGTCTGCCAGATATTATTTATCACTGATCCTATAGCATTAAACAAGATAGGCAAGATTCTTTTTTTTATTTTTTTATATTTTAATGTTTTATTTATTTCTGAGAGACAGCATGAGCAGGGAAGGGTCAGAGAGAGAGGGAGACACAGAATCTGAAGCAGGCTCCAGGCTCTGAGCTAGCTGTCAGCACAGAGCCTGACATGGGGCTCGAACCCACGAGCTGTGAGATCATGACCTGAACCAAAGTCGGACGCCCAACCGACTGAGCCACCCAGGCACCCCATGATAGGCAAGATTCTTACTCTCAAGAAATAGAGTGTGTTTAATTCTGTATGATTAAAAAACAACTCTAGTAAAATAACTTTTTAGATGACGTATTATCTATTGTGAAAGCTAGAAAATCCTTTGAAACCACCTTGAAACTACAATGTCGTCTGACTTGTCTTGGTAACATTTAGCTTTATCCTGTATGTATGTGATACAAGGATTAGAGAGCAGAATAGTCTTACCTCCCAACATATTTACTTGAAGTCAGAGGGTCTATGAGCCAAAAAGTCCTGGTACATCTTAGTAGCAGCCTATATGTTAGATCACTCCTTATAACTGTTAAAGTCTAGAGTTCTTTAGCTGGCTGCTGGGTGTATTTGGAAGATTAGGCTTCAGAGACCTTGAACAAAGATAAGAAATGGGAAATATCAAAAGTAGGCTATTAACTAGTTAATTGTAATGGACTTATAGTTGTCATTTATATGTTTTCTTGCAGATTGTTAGTTAAACAAGTACGGAATTTGAGATCAGAGTGTATGGGACAGGAAAACCAAATAAGAAAGTAAGTGACTTTTTTTATTAGAGCTGAAAGTTGCCTTAGTTTAGCTTCTGCATTTTACTAGTAAGGAAATTGAGAGTTCCAGAAGTATCAGTTAAAATAGTGTGATCAATAGCTAGATGATAGGATTAGAACATAATTTTGATTTCTGGTCCAGTTCTTCTAATTTATTGTTTTTTTAAAATTATTTCTGAGAGAGAGAGAGAGACAACATGAGCAGGGGAGGGTCAGAGAGAGAGAGGGAGATATAGAATCTGAAACAGGCTCCAGGCTCTGAGCTAGCTGTCAGCACAGAGCCTGATATGGGGCTCGAACCCACTAACTGTGAGATTATGACCTGAGCTGAAGTCAGACACTTAACCGACTGAGCCACTCAGGCGCCCCTAAATTTATTGCTTTGAATAAATAAATTTATTAGATAAGTTTATTAAATAAGTTATTATTATTAGAATTTTATTTGTGTTTTTATTGTTTATTTATTTTGAGAGGGAGAGAGTGGGGGAAGGGTAGAGAGAGAAAGAGGGAGAAAGAGAATTCCAACCAGGCTTTGCACTGTCAGTGCAGAGCCCAACCTCACAAGCTATGTGATTGTGACCTGATCTGAAGTTGGACGCTTTAACTGACTGAGCCACCTGGCTCCCCTATATTTTTAATTAGAATGGTTTTAGTGGGTGGGTTTGTAGATCGGTTAGCTCTTTAGGTGGTAAATTACCATGTGCTTTTTAAAGACTGGCTAATGAGATTATTTAATTTTTAACTAGAATGGAACCTTATGATGACCAAAGTAATATACAAGAGAAAATCCAAAAGGTGAGGCAACTTTTTAAGGGAGAAATTTAATCTCTCTTACTTTTGTCATACACAGTCTTTACTTAATCAGTTGGACTCTTTATTTCTCTTTATCATTTCTTTTTGTGAAACTGTTACTATTTTTTAAAGCTCATTAATAAGTGATGTATAGCAGTATCAATAGGGTGCTTCTAAAAAGCATGAATATAATTGAAAAATTAGCTTATAATTTATAAGACTAAATACAAAAGCAGTTTTAAATATTGTTAATTTAAAATCTTTCATGCCAGCAAGAAAAGTTGAGTCTGACTGTAACTTAATCAGCATTAATTTATCTACACAAAGTATGTTTTCTGAAGGGAGATGGTAAGTATGGAAGAAAAATGAGAAGTCACAGTGACGCTGGCTTGGCAGTAGGGAGGAATCTGGTAGACATAAATGATACGAGGTTTTCAGAGGTTTGGCTTTGGTGTGAGATTGGAGTGTTTTCTTAGGTTTTGTGTATAGGTGAAATCTCTGTCAAGCTCTTCTGATTTTATGATCACCAGGCTGCTTTGGGTGTTAATTTGGCTTCCCAGACAGTTTGTCACTGGAAAAATTGAGTGCCCTCCTCAAGAAATAATTACTCATCCATACACAGTGAATTTTTAAAAATATGTATTTATTTACTGAGAGAGAGAGAGAGAGCAAGAGCGAGAATGAGAGTGGGAGAGGGGCAGAGGGAGAAGGAGAGAGAATCCCAGGCAGGCTAGGTGCCATCAACACAGAGCCCCACATGGGGTTAGATCTCATGAACTGTGAGATCATGACCTGAGCTGGAATCAGGAGTTGGACGCTTAGCTGACTGAGCCACCCAGGTGCTCCCCTCCATTCGTTGAATTTTTATTGATCACCTGTCATGTGCCAGGCATTCTTCTGCATATTATACCTATAGCAGTGAAGGAAAGAGGCAAAGTCACTTCTTCTGTGGATCTTCCAACTTAGTGAACATGAATATTCCTATTAACTGAACACTATATCTTTGATTTTAAATTTAATAGGTTGATGTGAAACATGTTAAAGTCTTCACATTGATCTCTCCTGAGTTTGTTTAGTGTTCACTTTCCCCAAGTCCAGTCAATGTTTAGCCATTGACAGGAGAAAAGAATTTGAGAACCAGATCCTAGATCTTTGTCTACTGAGGAAATGCCATCCTGTGAGACCTGTAGATGATGGGAAGACAAACACGAACATTCTGTTTCCCTACCTACCTCCCACTTTAATAAATTCTTTTCAGACATTACATACAAACAAAAAAGTGCAAAAATCTTCAGTGTATATCTTGAAAAAATGTCACAAAGTGGATACACCCATATAACCAGCCTATAGTTTGGAAGCCTCAAGCCCTTTTTCATTCACAGCCATTTCCTCCCTCCAAGAGTAAACACTTTCCTCACTTCTTACATTAAAGATTAGTTTGTCTTTTCTTGAACACAAAAAGGGAGTGTATAATATTCTTTTGTGTTTGTCTTCTTTGACTCATGCTGTTTTATCTGTGCCGTTGTGTATGTAGGTCATAGTACATTCATTCCCAGTGCTATGTAGTATTCTATTTTATGAATATATAGCACAACATATATATATATATATGTATATATATATATATATATATATTTTTTTTTTTTGCTTTAGGTAGACCTTTGGGTTAATTGCAGTTTTTGATTTTTACAAATAGAAATGCTATGGGCATTCTTGAAAAAAAATTTTTTGTTGTTTCAATTGAAGTATAATTGACACCTAATGTTAGATTAGTTTCAGGTGTACAGCATAGTGATTGGACAGCTGTGTTATGCTTTGCTCACCATAAGTATAGCTACTGGGACACCTGGGTGGCTCAGTCAGTTGTCTGACTTTTGATCATAGCTCTGGTCATGATCCCAGGGTCATGGGATTGAGCCCCGGATTGGGCTCTGTGCTAAGTGTGGAATCTGCTTAAGATTTTCTCTCTCCTCCACTTCCCCTTCTGCCCCCCTGTCACTCTCCCTCCTCCCTCTCTCCCCTGCTTCAGAGTGTGTGCTTGCTCTATCTCTCGGAAATAAACAAGTGTAGTTATCTATAAACATCCTTATATATGAATTTTATTGAACAGAGACATGTTACTATATGCCTAAGATTCTTTGCATTTTTTTTTTTTAAATGTTCTATTTTGAGAAAGTGCACAGTGCATGCATACATGAGCAGGGGAGGGGCAGAAAGGAGGAGAGCAAGAATCCCACGCAGGCTCCATGCTGTCAGCGCATGGTTCATGAGCTCCATCCCATGAACCAAGACATGACCTGAGCTGAAATCAGTGTTGGAGGCTCAACAAACTGAGCCACCTGGGCACTCCTAAGATTCTTTGCTTTTAAAGGAGCATGGTTTTCACATTTTTACCTTTTGAAACTTGATTAACTCTTAAAATTGATGTGTAGTGGTTTCTGTTAGATTGGTGGCATATCAAAACACAGGAAATGCTAATTGCATCTTGGTACCATGCAAATTCTTAGATTTGTTTTGAAAATCATGGTGGGCTAAATTTTCCTGAGAAATTCTTTAGTTTTAGTTTAGTTTCCAAAGCTGCTTTGGAAGTAGTATCAGTGCTTTTAGACATTTATTTATTAAATGTAATTAATTGATTAATTTATTTTAGTGATTTTAGATGGTTAATTTTCTCAACAGAAATCATTCCAGGAATACTTTATTTGTTCCTGAGAGCATGTTTGTGTTTTACATTTCTTAGATGTATGTATAGATTTTGCATAGACTTTCTCTCTCTTTTCAAAGGTTCGGTCTTTGTGGGCTTCCGTAAATGAAACACTCACATTTTTGGAAAAAGAAAGAGAAGTTGTTGATGTAGTCCTTAGTCTTGTTAACCAATACACTTTAGATGGAACTAATGTTGCTATCAATATTCCAAGGCTCTTACTTGACAAAATTGAGAAACAGATGGGTCAGGTAAGCATCTAATATTAAGGACGTTTTTAGAGAAACTCTTTTCATGAAATAGTATATGTATAATTAGTATATACACATTAATATATATAGTTATTGTATATATACTCTAATGAATATATGTATTTAATATGTAATATATAGCAAATATATAGTATGTTCTTACAGTGTTTTTCTGTCTTTGGAATTTATTTTTGTGAATATATTTAGGAAAACTTTCATAAAGAGGGCTACTGTTTATATATATTTATAAATGTATATACACACACACACATACACACACACATACATACACGTTAGCTTTTATTAAGTTTTTCATTCCTTTTATGGTGTTACATCATACAGTGTAGAGAGGAGAAGGAAGTTACTTAGTAGGAAGATGATATGGTACTAGTTCTTTAAAGTTTGTTTATTTTTGAGAGAGAGAGAGAAAGAGAGAGCACAAGCAGGGAAGGGGCAGAGAGGGAGACACAGAATCTGAAGCAGGCTGTCAACCCAGAGCCAGACGTGGGGTTCAAACCCATGAACTGTGAGATCATGACCTGAGCCGAATTTGGGTGCTTAGCCGACTGAGCCACCCAGGCGCCCCTGGTATTAGTTCTTTATAAATTCTCAAGGAGAGCAGCAATGATCTCTTAATTGCTGAATTTCTTTTTAAAATGTCTTTTGGGGTGCTTGGCTGGCTCAGTCAGGAGAGCATGCAACTCTTGATCTCAGGGTTGACTTTGAGCCCCATATTGGGTGTAGAGGTTCCTTGAAAATAATAAAAACCTTTAAAAAAAATGTCTCCATCCTCTGGTTTCTTTTTCATCTTGATGCTAAGTATTTTAAAATCTTTGCTTCCCTTAGCTTTTGTGACCTTAATATCTTTGTGCTCGTGTTTTTTCAGACTGTTGTTCTCAGTTTTTTTTATTCTTTTTTCTCTGACTTTCAAATGAAAGTGCTTTCCATGGTTCCATTAATGCCTACTCTTTCCCACAGTACATTTATCTGTATTTTCTTACTCAGTTCTATGTTTTCATCAGTATCCTATACAATAATATTCCCAAATTGGTATTTCCAGTCTCTTGCCTTCAACCTAAACTCCATCAATTACTTCCACTTGCTTATGGGACATTTCCATCTGGCTAGCCTACATTTGTTTTCTTAGTAAACTCACACTCTATTAAGTATCTGATATGTCAGGTGTTAATGATAACATAGGGACTACAAAGGTAAAATATTGTGATCCTGAAGAGCTTTCACTTTAACAGGTAACATGCCAGCACTTCAAATTCAAAGTACATAAAAGTCTGCAAATTCAGATTCCTGTGTATAGAGAATAAGTAGGTAATATATGCTAAATTGTGTGTAACAATGAGGTCTTTGAAGAAATAGTAATATTTGTGTAATATCAACTTAAGATTTTTAGTTGATTGGCAATTAATTCAAATGACTATAAAATACTGGAGTTGTGGAGGCCAATAAACATGTCTAACTTTAGATTCAGTCATGAAGGGACATGAATTTGCAACTTCTGTTAAACATGAATTTATGGGGGCGCCTGGGTGGCTCAGTCAGTTGAGGGTTGCACATCAGCTCAAGTCATGATCTCACGGTTTCTGTGTTTGAGCCCCAGGTCCAGATCCGTACTGACAGCTCAGAGCCTGGAGCCTGCTTCGGATTCTGTGTCTTCCTCTCTTCTCTGCTTCTCCCCTGCTACAGTCTGTCTGTCTGTCTGTCTCTCAAAAATAAAACATTAAAAATTTTTTTTTAAAGTTTGAAAAACAAAACAAAACCTGAATTTATGATCTTTTACCAAATCTGCTTTTTCGTTTCAATCTTTATTTTGCTTTCTGCTTATTTGCATTTCTTTTATTCTAGTTTGCAACTTTTTTTTTTGCATAATATAACAATATAGCACAGCATGTTAATTCTTTTATGGTAGTTTTCTTTGGACCAAAATTATTTACTTGGTTTCATTTTTGGGTAGACATTTGACTTTTTTCACTCTTAAGGTAAGCTTTTTATGTAATAAAAAACATATATTTATGTAACAGTTCATAATCTTAAGAACCGCTTCTTTTTTTTTTTCTCCTTTGAATCCTTAGTTGCACATAGGAAATGTTTACGAGGCTGGAAAATTGAACCTGTTAACAGTTATTCAGTTATTAAATGAAGTGTTGAAAGTAGTAAAACATGAACGTTATCAGGCTGACCCAGCAAGACTGACAGTAGACCTTCAGTTCCTTGAAAAAGAGACCAAACTTCAGAGAGAAAGATTATCAGACCTGAAGCGTATGAGGTACCCCAGAAAGATCTTTTGTTATGTTACTGGAGAGGAGTTGGGTGGTTTTGGTAATTTCCAGCACAACTTGTGTAGTTGACAACTCTTCAGCTTTGGCAAACAAATTTGAATATTTTATTAGAACTCAAAAACCTTGTCATTGGCTCCTAGAGAGACACATGACGTGTGTTTTCTTTCTGTTTAGGATAAATTATTTGCCCAAAGGGATTATTCTTTATGAAGTAATTTTAACTTTTCTCAAGCTTTTCTTTTATGGGGTCTGCTAATAAAACTAAGTCTCAGAAAACTTATTTGAGTGGAGGAACCAGGAGGTATTGCCTTTAGGAATGGACAAAGAGTAAGAGTAGAGTTTGGACTCGCGTTTAGAACTAGGAAAAAATAATATTTTAAAGGGATAAATGGAATAATTAATGTGTGATTGCTTGCTGGTCTTAAAAGGAAGAAAGGTATTTTGGGTTTTGAATGTTCACTGTGAGAGTTTATTCAGTTCATACCTGCTGTATTGGTTGAATTTCCAGTTACATTTTCTTTCCTTTCTCTATAAACTGTTGTCTTAAATTTTACACAATACTTGTTTTATATATTCATGTTTTGAATGAAGTTCCTTTTTTATGCTATCATAGGTGTAAAATAAAAGAAGATCTCACAACTATAAAACATTTTGTTGCTGCAAAGCAAGGAGAATGGCATAAAAAGTGGAAAGATTTTCTTGGTGTGTCTCCTTTCTCTCTAGTTAAAGGGTCAACTCCAGTAAGTAGTGTTGGCTTCCTTTTTGGAGAGTAGTTTCATGTAAGACAGTCTTTTGATTTATCATGTTACAAATGATCTAGGAATGCTTTGCATGTATAAGTTTGTCATCTTTGCATCTGAGCTGAAAGTTTAAATGTTTTGGTTTCTCTAATTTTCTAAATACATATTCAAGTATTTATCAGCCTGCTTTTTGATTTATAGTTAATATTTTTAGACTCGGAGGATTATATTAAATAGAAAATGAGACATTTCTTTTGCTGTTAGGTAGTATTAAATTTGAGGCACAGTTGGAGGAGACAGAGTAGTCCCTTTGTTGTAATATTGTACTCCTTTGTTTAAAAATAGTTATGGGATAATTGCCATGCTTGGTAATTCCATCTTTGTTAGGAGGAAAAATCATCCATTCATAGAATAACTTAGCAGTATTATTATGGTAATGAGTAAATGTGCTTATTTCAAAATGATGAATTCTGTGTTTTAAGGCTGTGGATCTTTTACCACCAATGTCTCCCCTTTCATTTGATCCTGCCTCAGAAGAAGTGTATGCTAAGAGTATTCTTTTGCAGTACCCTGCTTCACTTCCAGGTTGGTTATTTGTTTTTCTCTCTTTTAATCTTCCCTCTCATCACTATTTTTCACTATGATAGCAGTTTCTTTGCATTCTTGTTCCCTCCTCATTATTTTTTATTGTGATGAAATGCACATAGTGTTTCAGTCATTGCAGTGTACTAAGTCAGTGGCGTTTAGTAAACTCCCAGAGTTGTACAACCGTCACCACTTTGTAGCTCCAGGATATTTTTAAGATCTCAAAAGGAAATCCTGTACACATGAAGCAGTGACTTCCCATTTTCCCCTTTCCCGGTCCCTGGCAACTGCGAATGTACTTATCGCTGTGGATATTTCATATAAATGAAGTCATATAATATAAGCCTTTTTTCCTTTTTAGATTTTTATTTAAATTCTAGGTAGTTAATATACAGTGTAATATTGGCTTCAGGAGTATAATTCAGTGACTCATCACCTAAATACAACACCCAGTGCTCAACATGAGGCTTTTTGTGTCTGGCTTCTTTCACTTGCAAAATTTTTCACTTTGCTCATGTTTTCAAGGTTCATCCAAGCTGTAGCATGTATCAGTACTTCATTTCTTTTTATGAATACATTCTGTTGTATGACTAAACCATATTTTGTTTATTCATCCATCCATCCATTGGTGGACATTTGGGTTGTTTCCACTATTTCACTATCATGAGTGATGCTGATACAAATATTTGTTTACAAGTTTTTGTTTAGAAGCTCACAACTGTTTAACATGAAAGATAGCACAGTAATTATCCGAATACCACCTGTTTTAATAATCAACATCTGCCATATTGCTTTATATGTATTTGTATTTTTGCTAAACCAAGTAAGTTCTTTTTCAGCATGCATTCCCATAAAAATAAATAAAGACTTTTTTTGGGGCGTCTGGGTGGCTCAGTTGGTTGGACATCCGAACTTGGCTCAGGTCGTGATCTCGCAGTTTGTGAGTTTGAGCCCCATGTCAGACTCTGTGCTGACTGCCAGCTCAGAGCCTGAAGCGTGTTTCGGATTCTGTGTCTCCCTCTCTCTCTGATCCTCCCCTGCTCACATGGTCTCTCTTTCTCTCTCTCAGAAAAAAAAAACAACAAAACATTAAAAAAAATATAAAGACTTTTCCTATATAACTACCGTAGTAATATCATATCTAAAAAGCCAATAATTCTATTGTATCTCATATTCAGCTTCCTCAACTATTACACCATCACACCTAAAGAATTAATTTCTCTACAATATCTAATATCCATTTTATATTCAGTTTCCCCAGTTACCCAGTACTTGTGTGCAAGAAATTATTGAGTTCGGTAAAAATTAGAAAAGAGGAGGAATAAATTGTATAAAAAATGTATGAATTATGTAGCCAGACTGGAGCAGGCATAGATACAGGCCATATTTGAGTTCATGCATGCCAAAGGTCATGCATGGCAGTAGTTAGCACAGGACTTACGAAGAAATGAATGAACACAAGTAGGATAGGTGATTGGTTTGGGAGTCAGGTGTACATGGGGAGGACACTGGCTAGGAAAGGTCACAGAACAGTGAGCAAGCCTCTGGATAGGCACTGGCAAAACAGTATACAGGAAAAAGACTGCGTGGCTTGATGAGTGAAAAAGTGCTTCAGATAGAGCATTGTGAAGGATAGTAGAATTACTCTTAGAGCTCTTGGCATGTGTGACCGACATTGTGTTTCACTTCAACTTGGAAAGGGCCATTGCACTCTGGCAAGACTTAGTTTAGGCCCTGGTAAACAATGACATTTTAGTCCTCATGTCCATCCGGAGATTTCTGTCTACCTTGAAAGTGAGGCATATTTATGTCTGTTTAGAAAGTGTAGTTGGAAGTTCACATTTTAGAAGTGCGTGATAGGTTCTTTAAGGTGATGCTCTCCTCTAGACATTACAGAGTTTGTACTCTTGGGATTCCTTTCTTTTCTCTTCAAGAGGTAGAGGTTTGATCATAGCTGGGGGACCTTAACCTTTTATGCTTTTTGTAGTAAAACAACTTTTTTTTCCTCCTATACCTTACATACTACATTTTATTTGTAGAAATCTTATTTTTTTATTTAAAAAATTTTTGACATTTATTAATTAAAAATTTTTTTAAATATTTTATTTATTTCTGAGAGACAGAGAGACAGTGTGAGCAGGGGAGGGTCAGAGAGAGTGAGGGAGACACAGAATCTGAAGCAGGCTCCAGGCTCTGAGCTAGTTGTCAGCACAGAGCCCGACGCGGGACTCGAACTCACAAACCGTGAGTTCATGACCAGAGCTGAAGTTGGATGCTTAACCGACTGAGCTACCCAGGCACTGCAAGAAATCTTCTTTTAAATTGTTTTTTATTATTTATTTATTATTATTATTTGTAATGCTTATTTATTTTGAGAAAGAAAGTGTGAGATGGGGAGGGGCAGAGAGAGATGGGGAGAGAGAGAATCTCAAGAAGGCTCCGTGCTGTCAGCGCAGAGCCCAGGGTAGAACTCTGTTTCAAGAAATGTAAGATCATGACCTGAGCCAAAATCAAGAATCAGTCACTGACCCTACTGAGGTAAGGCGCCTTTCAAATTGTTTCTAAAACAATTATATTTTAGCATATTGAAAAGTATGAAGGATAGTATTTTAAATACCTGTTTACCAAACACTTTTTGCCAAAACTTTGCAATATTGGACTTAGAAAAAAGTATATATGCGGGTCCCTGGGTGGCTCAGTCGGTTAAGTGTCTGACTCTTGATTTCTGTTTAGATCATCATCTCTGGGTCATGATGTTGGGTCTGAGCCCAACATCAGGCTCTGTGCTAGTCATGGGGCCAGCTCAAGATTCTCTTTCCCTCTCCTTCTGCCCCTCCCCCACTCACACTTGCTAGCGCTCTCTCTTAAAAAAAAAAAAGTATATATGTAATTAGTTAATCCTTGGAGACCCACCTTTCCTTGACCGTGTTCTTCCTGCATTTGCAGATGTAACCACTGTCATGAATCTTATACTTATTCTGATGTTTGTTTATAAAAATAATTTTACAACATGTGCATGGATCTAACTATATTTAAGATTATTCTGATAAATTTCTCTTATTGTACCGCAAAATGCCCTGTGTAAATATATATTTTTTGAACTAGGATCTAAGGAAGGTTCATTCATTGCATTGTTTGTTTTGTCTTCTTTTTTTTTTTTTTAAAATTTTTTATTTATTTCTTGGAGAGAGAGAGACAGCGTGAGCAGGGGAGGGTCAGAGAGAGAGGGAGTCACAGACTGAAACAGGCTCCAGGCTCTGAGCTGGCAGTCAGCACAGAGCCCGACGCGGGGCTCGAACCACGAACCGCGAGATCATGACCTAAGCGAAAGTCGGACGCTCAACCGACTAAGCCACCCAGGCGCCCCTGTTTTGTCTTCTTATTCTTATTCTAGAATAATGGCCATGGCCTCCTTTTTAAATGAAAGTGATAGAAATTGTTTTTAACAGTTTTTGTGTGTTTAGACTTACCAGCACATTTACTGATTTTTTTTTTGTGTGGGTCAAGATTACTTCTTTTATTCTACTCCTTCTCAGAAGTATATCTCAAAGTATATCCTTTAGTTCTTTTTGTGATGGACACTGGATAGTAAAATTTCTTAGTTCTTCTCAGAAAATGTCTTTATTTTCACTAATTCCTGAATATAGTTTGGCTCATTTTTTAAAAAACGTTTTTTAATTTATTTCTGAGAGAGAGAGACAGCGTGAGCAGGGGAGGGTCAAAGAGAGAGGGAGATACAGAATCTGAAACAGGCTCCAGGCACTGAGCTGGCTGTCAGCACAGAGCCTAGTGCGGGGCTCGAACCCACGAACCATGAGATCATGACCTGAGCCGAAGTCGGACGCTTAACTGACTGAGCCACCCAGGCACCCTTAGTTTGGCTCATTATAGGATTCTAGATTCATGTTTAATTTTCCTTATGACTTTGAGGATATGATCTCATTATTTTCTGCCTTCTAATTGTTTCTCAGACATCTGTTCCCAGTCTAATGGTCACTCATTTTTAGGTAATTTTTAATCTCTGGTTGCTATTTTAAGACCTGTACTTACTTAGTTTTGTATTATGCAGGTTCATTCAGATATGTCTAAATGTGGATTTGTTTTTATTAACCTTTGGAGCTGTTTGTGCTTATATAACATATCTTTCTTCTGTTTTGGAAGCTTATTCACTAATAACTCTTCTAACACTCTCTCTCTGTCATTCCTTTGATGTTTTCCTTCTGGGGCTCCTATTGTTGGGACTTCTAATTCTGTCCTCCATATCTCTAAACTTCTCATTTATGTTTATTTCATTGTAGCTCTAGGCTTATGGTTCACTAATTATCTCTTTAGTTATACTTAATCTCTTTTTTGACATGTCCATTTAGTATTTAGCAATAATGAATGTACATTTTATTTCTTTCATTTGCTACTGTTTGAAAAATTGCCTTTTTCACGGTGTCATCTTCTTTGATTATGGCTCCTATTTCTTTGACAAATATTTTAAATATATTGATTTGATCTTACTCAATTTTTAAATGTCCTAGTGTGTCAGATACTTCTGCTTCTGTATGTTCTGCTTGCTCATTTTTATAATGTTTGTTTCCTATTAAAATATTTGATTGTGGGTATGCCTGGCTGGCTCAGTCAGAGGACCATGTGACTCTTCATCGTGGGGTTGTGAATTCAAGCCTCATGTTTGGTGTAGAGATTACTTAAAAATAAAATCTTAAAAAAATTTTGATTGTGGCCTCAGCTTCTGTGGACCCACCCCTGAAGGAGTCACAAAGGCCCTGGCTTGTAAAATGGTTTCTACATGATAGCCTAGGATCCCTGGTATTTCCCATGAACCAGGCAGTTAATATCTTTGGTTTGGGATTTCAACCAGTAGCTAATATAATTTTGGATTTCATCCCTCTCTTTGAGTAGGCTAGGTATGTTTAAAACTTTTCTCCCCTCCTTTTTTTTTTTTTTTTTTTAAACCCAGAACCCAGGGAGATAGTAGAGCTTCCCTGTTACTTTCCTAGTCTAGTTGGCAGAATTTCTGTAATCTTTTCAGAGGCCCAGCAGACTTTGCGATATTCCAGCTTTATGGAACAGATCCTAGCCTCAGTGGTCTGAGATGATGTTTCTTGTTATATAGGCATTGAATCTCCATTGTACAGCCCCTGGAGCCTGCCAGTTAGCCTTCGTGTCTCAGTTTGAGCTTACATTCTTTCAGTCTTTGCTCCTGGTACTTGAGGATTTTTATTCTTTTGGGCATTCCTTTTTTTTCCTTACATTTTATTTAGTGGTTCTAGTGTGTTTATGGTAGGAGTCATTGTCTGCTGCAGCTTGGTTTGCCTTGTGAGTTCAGTTGTGTTTTTACCTCTTTATTATCAGTCTGTTGTGTCTGTGCCCTTTGTTCTCTTCACATCTGTAGTGCTGTAGTTTAGTTTTCTGTTTCCTGCCTTTAATTGTATTCCAGCGAGCTACTCTGCCTCCATATTCTATGTATTCCGTGATGTAATTGGTTATCGGTGATCTTTCTGAAATGTAAATATGATCCTTTTAATCTCCTGATGTAATACACATCAATGACTTTCTATCCCCTTTAGGGAAGAAGAGGTCTAGATGCTTTTTCACTTAGCAACTTCTGCCTTACACACTGTGTTACATACCAGCACAAATGTGTGTTGCCTCTGCCTACCACCACCAGCTAGTGTTTATGGTGGTGCCTGATTGTTATTTAGTTTCTTGTCTACTAGTTTTGTGATACAGTTTTTGTGTTTGTGCTTATTATTAGAATGTTTTATGAATATCAGTAATTCCATCATCATTAGGTCCAAAAGCAAAGGGTACTGAAAATATTTATAAGATAACATACTATTATGGTGGATTAAAAGGAAAAGTATGTAGTATATACTTGTATATACATTGGTTTCTTATACAGTAACACTTGGGACACATGTATAAATAGGGAAGGTCTTTCAGAAGCTAACACGTTGAAAGAAGAAGAGTTCCTAGAATATAAAGTCCATTATAATGGAGCCATGGCTTTCTTCCTCAATCTAATTTCTCAGCTTCCACTCAGTATACCTTGAGCTCTAGCATACTGAACTCTTACCCTATTTTTTCAGTACCTTTATGCCCTCTTCACATCCCCCAGTCCTAGCCAGGTGCCTTTCTGCCTCCTTGAATTCTGTACATATTTCTCCTAATACTATAGCAGCATGCCATAATTCCCTATTCATCTGTTGTCTTTTTCTAGACTGACTCTTTGAAGACAGGATCTCCATCTTTTTTTTTCTTCCTTCCGTTGTTAGTATTGCAGCTGCATATAATTATTCAGTGACACGTTGAAGAATAAATATGTAAATTGACTGATGTCTTAGATGCTGGGCTGAAATATGCCAAACAGTATAATTTTTGGCCTTGCTGATTTGATGTGGTAATTATATGATCTGTCTACCAAAATAAGAAGCACGGCTATCTTATGCTGGAGAACTGTGGACTGTCATTTTTTTTGAAACTTGGTTTCACTTTTTAAATTTATTTTATTTTTTATTTTATTTTATTTAAAAACTTCTAATGTTTATTTATTTCTGAGAGAGGGAAAGACCGAGCATGAGTGGGGGAGGGGCAGATAAAGAGGAAGACACAGAATCTGAAGCAGGTTCTAGGGTCTGAGCTGTCAGCACAGAGCCCAGCTTGGGGCTTGAACTTACAAACTGTGAGATCACGACCTAGCTGAAGTTGGACGCTTAACCAACTGAGCCACCCAGGCGCCCTGGTTTCACTCTTTTAAAAGAGCTTATTACTAGGCTAGGGGTGCCTAGGTGGCTCAGTTGGTTAAGTGACTGATTTGATTTTAGCTCAGGTTGTGATCTCACAGTTTGTGAGATCAAGCCTCACATTGGGCTCACTCATGCGATTGCACTGCACGTTCTCTCAAAATAAATAAACATAAAAAAAAAAAAGCTTATTACTAGATATTCTCTATCTGTCCTATTTGTACACTTAACAGTTGAGTGATTATTTTTTCCTTTAGCATTCATACTGTGATGTTTCTGTTTTGTTTAGAAGTTTTTCTACAATTTCAAGAGATCACTGAATATTAAAATATACAAACATAATTAAAGACTAATTTTATGTTCCTTTAGATATACCTAAGCAACATAATGAAGAAGATGATTGCAGGAAAGCCAGTGATATACCGGGAACTGTATGTGGTCTAACCAACAGGTAAAACAAATTTGATTTTCATACTGATTTTTTCCCTCCTTCACCAGTTTAATTTCATCTTCTTCATCTAATTTCTAAGCTTGTGTATTATGGGATCATCTACAATTTTCTTCTCCTAACCAGAGAGTATTTTTCCATGTGGATCCATATTTTCAGGAAAGATTGAAACATTTCTGACACATTTTTATTTTTCCTTCTTTTGTTTAAATGTTGGGATTCATAAGGGATTATCTAATTTTTGAAGAAAAACATGTATGGAAATAATTTTTACAAGTTTGGAAATTTTTGCTGTTTTGTGACTGTGAGCTTCTTTGAAACCACTTATGGCCAGTTGACCAAATCCAAATCCAGGAGTTTAAGGGTGTTTTATGATCTAGTCTCCTAATTTTCAGACTATGTTCTGCAGCGCCCTCTGGTGATGTGGATGAATCTAATTTAATCTGTCATTGGTCTAACCCTTTTCCACTTCAGCCTGAGCAAATAGTTCTTTTATCTGTATTACATGTTGGGGGGGTTTATATGCCATTTGATCAGAAGAGTTCTATGCTTTAAAATAAAGGAAGGGGCGCCTGATTGGCTCAGTTGATTGAACATCCTACTCTTGATTTTGACTCAGGTCTTGATGCTTAGGGTGGTGGGATTGAGCCCTGTGTTGGGCTCACCACTGAGCATGGAACCTGTTTACGATTCTCTCTATCCTGGAGCGCCTGGGTGGCTCAGTTGGTTTAGTGTCCAACTTTGGCTCAGGTCATGATCTCAAGGTTTGTGAATTAAGCCCTGTGTTGGGCTCTGTACTAACAGCTCAGAGCCTGGTACCTGCTTTGAATTCTGTGTGTGTCTCTCTTTCTCTGCCCTTCCCCACTTGTGCTCTGTCTCGGTCTCTCTCCAAAATAAATAAATGTAAAAAAAAAAAAGATTCTTTCTCTCCCTTTGCCCCTCTTCCTTGCTTTCTCTCTCTCAAAACAAAACAAAAAGGGAAGACTTCTGATTCAATTTAATCCCCAAATTTAACATTTGAAAAAAACTAAACCTTCATTTATTAGGATATACTTCGGGAGTAGTCTAAACTTTTTTATTGTCTGTTTTCTTTATTATCCCATTTTGGCTCTTAGAATAAATGCCAGGTTATATAAGCAAAAATTTCTAAATGTATATAGTCTACCTGGGGAATATATTTAATTTTTTTATTGAAACCAAGTGTTATTAAGTAGCAGTCAAACACAGACATACTGAACAGGTTTGTTATATTAAAGTTTTTTGTTTTCTGACTATCGTTTGATCTAAATAAGAGTCATTCAGTCCAGTTTCTCCATGTAATTGAGGCACAGTTATGGAAACAAAATACTTAGGATAATTCTGAAAGAAAATTTTAAATGAATTGAAGCTCTCTTCATTCTATATACTCTAAGCAAGTTAATAGCTGAAGCACCATAACAAGAGTCAAAACTTATATGTTAATTGAAGTCTTCTTCATTCTCTATACTCTTAATAAGTTAATAAACCTAAACACCATAAAGGAGTCAGAACTTATATGTGAAATTGAGCTATTGGCAGTTTCCTCTGCAGTAATTGCCTGATTCACAGGAGGTCAGGATTTCTTGTGAAGATTTATATTTTTATTCTTAGATCTGGATATGATGTTGATTCTTGGAGTACCTTAAGAAAAATGGTGCAGGGACGCCTGGGTGGCTCAGTTGGTTGGGCATCCGCCTTCGGCTCAGCTCATGATCTCACGGTTCGTGGGTTCCATCCCCATGTCAGGCTCTGTGCTGACAGCCAGCTCAGGGCCTGGAGCCTGCTTCGGATTCTGTGTCTCCCTCTCTCTCTGACCCTCCCCTGCTGACGCTCTCTCTCTCTCTCTCTCTCTCTCAGAAATAAATAAAAAAGCATTAAAAGAAAAGAAAAATAGTGCAATCTATTTTCTTTACAGGTTATCAAGTAATTATTTAGAAAAAAATAACAGTGTTTTAAGAACTTAATTCCAAAAGCTGGCAGAAAACAGCCTTTTGTGAGCAGTGCCAGATCAGAGCTGAGAACTGCCATAAGGGTCCACCAGCCAAACCAGGAGAGGGCCGCAGCCATAAAGCCCTTTATGAGTTGATAGTTGTGGCCCCTCCCCTTTCTAGGCTTCTGTTTGCCCCACTGTGGGTTCCTTGTTGCAGGCAGGATAGCTACTCCCTCATGAACCCACAACTGTCAACTAACACTGTGCTTCCGCATCCCAAAACAAATCCACAGATAGATAGTGAAGTTATTGGGCTTCTCTAGCTTACTCCTTGTCAAACTGTTCTTAAAGCATGCTAGAGGGGAATAGTTAATGCTTCCCCATCTAAATTATGTTTTCTGTTTCTCTTTACTTGAGAGAGCAAATAAAAGATATGATTATGGTCACTTTGTGGGACCTTAATGGGCTAAAGATTGATGGAGTTAGTAGATCGATTTATAGATAGGATTTTATTTATGAACTCCATTGAACTCATTGAACTTCAAGGTTCTTTTTTTTTTTTTCCTTATTATTTTGGAGAGAGGAGGAGACAGCATTTGCACTTCATGAGCAGAAGAGGGGCAGGAGGAGAGAGACGGGGAATTTTTTTAATGTTTTATTTATTTATTTTTAATTTTAATGTTTTTATTTATTTTTGAGAGAGACGGAGCATGAGCAGGAGAGAGGGAGACACAGAATCTGAAGCAGACTCCAGGCTCTGAGCTGTCAGCACAGAGCCTGAAGTGGTACTTGAACTCCTAGACCACGAGATCATGACCCGAGCTGAAGCTGGATGCTTAGCTGATTGAGCCACCCAGGCACCCCATTAATGTTTTATTTTTATTTTTGAGAGAGAGCATGCGTGCACAAGCTGGGGAGGGGTAGAGAAAGAGAGACAAAGGATATGAATCAGACTCTATGCTGTCAGTGCAGAGGCTGATGCAGGGCTCGAACCCATGAGCTGTGAGATCATGACCTGAGCTGAAGACAGAGGCTTAATGAGCTGAACCACCCAGGTGCTCTGAGAGAGAATCCTAAGCATGTTGTAGCGGGGCTCGATCCCACGGCCATGAATCATGACCTGAGCCAAAATCAGATGTTGGATGCCCAACTGATTGAACCACTTATTCATCCCTCAACATTCTTTCTTGAGGTAGAGTTTTGTACTAAGGTACACTATCAGAATTGTACAGGAGCCAAACACTTAGCTCCTAAGAATTTAGTTTAGATGCAAATCACTTGGTATAGGAAAAGAGATTGTATTAAATACGCTTTTATTTTTTTATTTTTTTAAAATGTTTTATTTATTTCTAGGAGAGAGAGAGACAGCGTGAGCAGGGGAGGGTCAGAGAGAGAGGGAGTCACAGACTGAAACAGGCTCCAGGCTCTGAGCTGGCAGTCAGCACAGAGCCCGACGCGGGGCTCGAACCCACGAACCACGAGATCATGACCTAAGCGAAAGTCGGATGCTTAACCGACTAAGCCACCCAGGCGCCCCGAGATTGTATTAAATACACTTTTAAAAAAATGTTTATTTTATTTTGAGAGAGAGAGAGCGCAAATAGTGGAGAGGAAGAGAGAGAGAATCCCCAGTGCAGAGCCTGATATCGGGCTCGACCCCATGAAACTGTGAGATCATGACCTGTACGAGATCAAGAGTTAGATGCTTAACCACCTGAGCTACCCAGGAACCCCTAAATACACTTTGGTTTCCAGATTTACCCTCTTCCACACTCCTCTTTTAAAATTTTATTTATTTTACTTTCATTTTTTTATTTTAGGGAGAGTACGCAGGGGAGAGGGCCTGAGGTGGAGAGAATCTTAATCAGGCTCCACACGCAGCACAGAGTCCAATGTGGAGCTTAATCCCACTACCCTGGGATCATGACCTGAGCTGAGATTAAGAGCTGGATGCTCAACCAACTGAGCCACCAAGGCTCCCCAAGCTCATCTTGTGATACTTATTTTTTTTTTTAACATTTATTTATTTTTGAAAGGGAGAGAGAGCGAGCACGAGCAGGGGAGGAGCAGAGAGAGAGAGAGAGAGGGGAAGACACAGAATCTGAAGCAGGCTCCAGGCTCTCAGTTGTCAGCACAGAGTTTATATGGGGCTTGAACTCACAAATCCCGAATTCATGACCTGAGCTAAAGTCAGATGCTTAACCATTTGAGCCACCCTGGTGCTCCTTTAATTGTTAAAAAAAAATTTTTTTTAATGTTTGTTTATTTTTGAAAGGGAGAGCATGAGCGGGGGAGGGGCAGAGAATGAGGGAGACACAGAATCTGAAAGAGGCTCTAGGCTCTATGCTGTCAACACAGAGCTTGGCGTGGGGCTTGAACCCATGAACCGTGAGATTGTGACCTGAGTTGAAGTTGATCATTTAACTGACCGAGCCACCCAGGCTCCCCTTGGGATACTTAATTTTAATAGAAGGTTTGGGATATTGCAGGGAGGTATAAGGGAAGGCTTTTGGTGATGGGAGATAAATGTATAATAGAATATGAATGATGATTACTATCTGATAGAACATAAGAAGGTGAAGAGTTGAGTCATGTGGAAATAAGCGTATTGCTCAGAATTACTTACTGTAAAGGTGTTTTGTAATAAAATGTTTCATTAGTAATATGTAATGTAGGTAGATACTTCAAGAAAATAATACCCCCTTTTTTTACAATTTTATTTTTCTAAGTAATATTCATACCCAACATGGGGCTTGAACTCATAACCCTGAGATCAAGAACTGCACACTGTATGGACTGAACCAGCCAATCACCCCCAATAATACCCTTTATTTACATGAAATTCAGCTGTTATTTGTAGTGGCATCTTATGTCAGTATCAAAGTAGTTAATTTGGAAATACATAGGTGGATATGATCAATACAACTATTCAATTAAAAAATGTGGAAAGAATGTAAGTTATTATAGCCCTTTCACATATGGTTGTCACCCACAGGTACCAGAATATAAGTAATGTTCTTCATAAATCTCATGGCTGTTTTTGATCAGAGTGAACTGATGGAGGCTTCACCATACTTAAACCCAGAATTCATTGATTGGCGATGCCTTTGCTGTAACTGTGGAGATTACCTTTCTTTGAAGTGGTTTCTGGAAGGGAGGGTTCCATGATATTTCTAGTATGATGATGCACTTCTAGACTTTTAACCTCTTGAGTTTCTTCTTTATTGCATTTCAGAGATGGTGGGCAGTATGATCTTGCCTGAATGCCAACTAAATATTTTTAGTCTTAGAAACTAAATTCTAATTACCTTTCTCTTTTTATAATTTCTGTTTATTTCTTTGTTAATTGTAGATATATTATCACAGCAAAAAAAAAAAATTAGATGAAATTTCTTTTTAAGTGTTTATTTTTGAGAGAGAAAGTGAGTAGGGGAGGGCCAGAGAGAGGGGGACAGGATCAGAAACAGGCTTTGTGCTGACAGCAGCGAGCCCAGTGCTGGGCTCTAACTCAACAACTGCGAGATCATGACCTGAGCTGAAATTGGATACTTAACCAACTGAGTTAGGTGCTCCAATTAGCTAAAATTCCTAACAAATTACTTGTCAGACTTTCTTCCCAAGTTGGTTTTTGGGCTTTATTTACAAACATACATAAGATTAATTCTAATCAAACTTTTCTAAACCCTGATATAATGTAAGTACAATTTTTTAGTGTATATATATGTTTATTTAACTTTATATTACCATTTTTCATGTATAAAGGCTTTGTAACATTTCATTTATTTTTAAAGTTTTTAAATGTTTATTTATTTTTGAGAGAGAGAGAGAGACAATGTGAACAGGGGAGAGGCAGAGAGAGGGAGACAGAATCTGAAGCAGGCTCCAGGCTCTGAGCTGTCAGCACAGAGCCTGACGTGGGCCTCGAACTCATGAAATGCGAGATTATGACCTGAGCTGAAGTTGGACACTTAACTGACTGAGCCACCCAGGCACTTCTCATTTATTTTTTGACTTTTAGATTTTCCTTAAAATTTTTTACTGGAAAAAAGCATGTTGTTACTTACTTTGTTTTGGATAGAATGCTGCAGTGGGATCAGCACCATCTCTCTTTATCCATTACAGTCCTAGGATTTTATGGGCTTTGGTTTTGGCATGGCTGGTGGATAGAGTAAGGACTGAGCCAGGGCTGTGTTCACGTTGGCTTGGATTGAGATGTTAGCAGGACTGATAGTGTGTTGCCAGTTCAGAAATGAGAGAGAAAAAGCTGGAGAATAGGTGTCTGTTTTGTTTTTTAATGAGGCTCTGTAGGAATGATCCAAATAAAAAAACTTGGTGGCATAAATCTATAGAGCCTCTTGCTCAGGTGACATTTGTTCACTGATTCACTCACTCCATCAATTAGTTACAAACATGTATTGCCAAGTACCAGGTACTGTGCTAGTTTGAGGGACTAGCCTTTGGAAGGACATAGTCTTTGTCCTCCAGGAGCTCACAATCTCGTGGTGGCATATTAGTGACATCTTAGATTGCTGGCCCTCCCCCAGAGGGCTTTTTAATCATTTTAGTGTTAAGGTTTTAGAAAAATTAAGATAAAATCATCATAGATGATTAATTTTTTCCTTTGACATCTCAATTATATCCTGTTGAGGCAAATTGAACCTTAAACAGTTTCCGTGATCTTGAATTGTGTTTAGAAGGTAGATAACAATTCTAAGAAGCACATATTTGAAAAAGTTTGAAAAAAACATATATGCTATTCCATGCAATTTTTTTTATTTTTTTTAATGTTTTATTTATTTCTAGGAGAGAGAGAGAGAGACAGTGTGAGCAGGGGAGGATCAGAGAGAGAGGGAGTCACAGACTCTGAAACAGGCTCCAGGCTCTGAGCTGGCAGTCAGCACAGAGCCCGACGCGGGGCTCGAACCCACAAACCGGGAGATCATGACCTAAGCGAAAGTCGGATGCTTATGAGACTAAGCCACCCAGGCCCCCCTCCATGCAATGTCTTAAAGCTGTTAATTTCGTACTTCTTTCTATGAACAGAATGCAAAGCACCGACATGCTTGCTGTTGAAAGTGATCTCTCAGGTCATCTTGTCTTTTGTATTACTTAGAGTGGTAAAGCTTTGACCAATAAGCATACCCATGATTGAATTTGAAAGTTACTTCAAGATCAAGTTATCATTGCTTTGCAGGCTTTAAAAATTTAATAACTTATTTTGTAATTGATGTGTATGGTTTTATGTTTATCCAAAGGGGCAAGAGAATCTAAGATGGTAAGAAATGCTATGTGTAGAATCCAGCAAACAAACTGATTAACCTTATGACTTTAGCGTATGTGCTATAGAGCAAGAGTCAGCAGAAGATAAATTGATTTTGGACATAAAGTATCAAAATCCTAATGTCTCTGTTACAGTGAAATTCTATGATTTGAAGCCTAAAGGTAATGTAATAATGTGGTTCTAGTTAATTGAATTTGTTTTTACCTTGTACTCAAGTTTTTGAGTGTTCATCAAGTCATTCAACGTTGTAAAAAATGTTGATTTAAAATATGTAGTGCTTAAGGAAAATGTTCACCTTTTGGGAGGCTGATACACAAATGGGGCTGAAGTACTGCTCTGATTGTCACCATACCTCCCTAGAATAAAGTGCCTTTTGATGACCGGGACGAATTGAGGGAAATCGTAACGGACAGATACGGGGCAGACAATTTTTGTAGATTATTCAGATAGAGCAAGTGAGTGGAATTCTTTCCTGTGTATAACTTGAATTTGTTATCTTTGTTTTCTTTTAGACCTGCTTCTTTCCTGTTGCAACCAGTTTCATCATCGGGTATACACAGTGTTAGATTGCTTGAAAAGGTATATTTTAAAACAATTTTTAAGTAATTTTCTCTATACTAACTTGTGATTAAAATATTATTTTTGTTTATATCCCAATTTGTATTTACATATTTCCTGTTGCTCCTAAATGAGAATATTAAAAATCTTTTATTGTGCCACTGAACACGATAACTCAAGAACCTCTAATGAAGCTCAGCCATAGTTATTAAGGTTTTAACAAATTCCATGTCTGTTTCTTCAGGACATGAAGATAACTCCTAGAGAAGGAAATGAAACACCTTCTAAGGAGTCACCAAAATTTGAAATGGAAGACTCTTCATCATCAAATACTGCAAGAAATACAGAGAATACTGCATTTGCAGGGTCTCTGCCAGCTAAAAATAGTGATCCATTCCAAAAAGAGCAGGATCATTTGGTAGAAGAGGTTAGGAAAAGATTGTAATAAGTGTACTGAAATATCTATTATTTTCTCATTGGTGTTGAGACTATAAAGAGGTTATAATTAATTATTGATTAACTGTGGTTAATTTGGGAAAGGAGGGCATAGATAATGAAAATCATTGTTAAAGCAACTTGGTTCTCCCTCAAAGTAGAAGTAGATATAATATAAACGTAGTTAAGATTATGTCCGTGGTTTAGAACCCATGTGCCAGTCTATAAATATCTCTAAAAGTATAAAAATAATATATGTGTGATATTTTTGGAATTAATCATTATGTAAATTATTAGATAATTACACCCAATGGTTATATTCTATTAAAATAATCTAAACGTCTGTTGCTTAGCCAAGCTTCCTCTTTTTTTGAATATTAGAATGAAGACTATGCAGTATCATATCACTAAGCATAGCTTTTGTTCTTCTACTTTCTAGATATTTACGAAGTAATTAAGTGTATAAAGATTGAGATAAAGGACGGAACTCCAATACCTGAATCAGTATGCACTAAACCAAATTTTTCTTTCAGTCTCAGGAATATAAAGTAGCTGATTACTTTCTGGCTGCTTAAATTCAAACAGTGCTAAGGGATGTGGAAAATGTAATAAAAGCAACATTAGAGAATGGCTTGAGCATTTGCGTAAACTTTGTACAATAAGTAGTATAGTATTACTATTGAACAATAGTAGCATTATGTAGTCACTTGCCAGTGAAACGTCTCTTGTCAGGAAAAGCCAACGTCATGAACAATGATGTATTTAATCACTTTTGAAATATCTAGAAAGTAGAAGTACAAAAACTGTGCTTAGTAGTAAATCCCCTAGAGCCGTTTTCATGCTGTATACTTTTCTGTATTTCAGAATGTATTCCTCTGCCTTGTTTACTAGTTTATATCTGGTAATGAAGTTTCTGGCAGAGAAGTATATTGTCCAGGAGCATTTTTTTGTTAGTGGAAGTGTTACTGTGCAGATGGATTACAATTAAGAAAAATCTGCTTGCTTTAAAACTAGTCATTTTAGCAAATACAGAACTGTCAAGTTCAAAGATGCGGCAGATAGTAGTTTAGGTCACTGTTTAGTTAGAATTACGTCTACATCTTCTCAATTATAAAGATTTTTACTTTTTCTTTCCTTTATAATGGGATATCCATTTAAGATGAGAAGGGAGGAAACAGTTTTGTGTTTGGTTTCACCTTATAGGGCCGTGCCTAGGCAGACTAAATGGAGTATCTGAGAGCTATGTTTTTGAGCAGCTTTTCATCCCAAGTGCTTTTGTAGGGGTTGCTGACCATCAGGTGCTGATTTGTTCTTATCAGAGCTCTTGTTGTATTCTGCCAGGGAGTATGGTAATATTTGCTTTACCTTTTCTGTTTTAGGTTGCAAGGGCAGTTTTATCTGATTCACCAGAACCCTCTAAAGGAAAAGAACTAAAATTAGAGGAACTAATTGATACTCTAGTTTCTAACCCATTCTTAACAAGGAACCAAATTCCCCGAACTCCAGAAAACTTGAGTAAGTTAGTAATAACTTATTTTCTTATAAGACATTACTGTTAGAACCATGGTCTAACATATCCTCGGGAAACTCACTTTAAATTTCTTTTCTAGGGGATAGGGAGAAACAGAAACAAAATGCTTTTTTGTATCTTTCAGTTTAGCGGCAATGATTCTTTGTTTTGATGTAAGTAGTAGTATTATGCTCTGATACTCTACAGTTTTGCTTTTGTTGTTTTATTTGGCTCTTTCCTAGAAAATATTTTAGTTGAGCATTTTTAAAACATCCTGTGCCTCCACATCTGACCTGCGATCAACGTTTATAGAGTATATAGGCTGAGTCCTTCCAGTCAGCAGCCAGCAGCATCAGCCAAAACTTGTGTGTATAGAAATCTTTTCTACCCCTTGCAAGCTAGTTAGATTGCCCAGTACTTTTTTCTTCTATAATCTGTGTTGACAAAATTCTGATACTGTCATCCATGTGAAGGCGCATCATCCTAGTTGAATTAAATAAAATTTCCATTTCGCTGCTAGAAACAACATATTCAAAGTTAACTTGATTCAGTTGAGGTTGAACCCAGCCACAGCCTAGATCAGTGGGTGCAGAATACAGCCTGTGACCCAAATCTAGCTTGCCCTGCGTGTTTTTTTAAGTAAAGTTATATTGAACACAGCCTTGCGGATTTGTCACCATATTGTTTATGGTTGCTTTCATGTTATAGTGGCAGAGTTGAGTCCTTGTCACAGACCAGTGGCCTACAAAGGCTAAAATATTACTATCTGCCGTTTTCAGAAAAAGTTTGCTGAACCCTGGCTTAGATGGACAAGAAAATATCTTTTTATTTTTATTTATTTTTTAAAGTTCATTTATTTTGAGAGAGAGAGCATGCACATGCATGGGAGGGAGAAGGGCTCAGAGAAAGAGGGAGAGAGAGAATCCCAAGCTGGCTCCACTCTGTCAGTGCAGAGCCCAACTTTGCGAGCTGTGAGGTCATGACCTGAGCCGAAATCAAGTGTCAGACACTTAACCAACTGAGCCACCCAGGCATCCCAGAAAATATCTTTTTAATATATATAATTTCTATGTGCTGTGTGCAAGTATATGCATGTTTCAGGGACAGCCTTTGTAATTTATGGGTGATCAGTTGGAGAAGGAGTTCTTTTATGTTGTTGGTCTCTGGTTTGTTGTGGAGTCTGGTCATCCAGTGAGCATATCTGTGGAACATACAGTGAGTCAGTAGCTTTATGTTGAGCACTAGAAATGAAATTTTTTTTTTTTTTTAAATATTTTTATTTATTTTTAGGAGAGCTAGGGAGAGAGAGACAGCGTGAGCAGGGGAGGGTCAGAGAGAGAGGGAGACACAGACTCCGAAACAGGCTCCAGGCTCTGAGCTGGCAGTCAGCACAGAGCCCGACGCGGGGCTCGAACCCACAAACCGCGAGATCATGACCTAAGCGAAAGTCGGACGCTTAACCGACTAAGCCACCCAGGCGCCCCTAGAAATGAAATTTTTAATTACATATTCTGTTTGGGAATATTAGTAATTGTGTTTTTCCCCCCTTCATTTAATTAGTAAGTGAAATTAGGAGCTCATGGAGAAAAGCTGTTGAAATAGAAGGTAACAGAAGTACAGAACTGATTCAGATGGATACCGAAGATAGAGAAATATCGCCAGAATCCTCACCTGTGTTGCATAACCAAAGAGAAGTGAGCAGGACCAGCTTTCTCTCAGCAACCACCGTATCCGATTCTAGCCATTGGCATTTGCCTGAAGAGAAAGTTCGTTCCGATTGCCTCAAGTGTGTGCCTCAGAAACGTGCAGTGACCAGTCACATCGATGGACTGTCAGCACATCAGTCAGGTTTGTTAAATAAGAAAGTAATATACCAGCAAGGTTTGGAGTCCACAGCGTTACAGAACAGGCTTTTAGAAACTAGCCAAACAGAGACATTGTCCCCTGCTGCAGGTAATAGGAGAGTCGTGATGGGTAGCAGTGAGGAGGAGTATGTTAAAATAGCAGACCACTCCAGAGCTTCTTACAAAGAACCTTCCATGCATAAAAGTATGTTCTGGGACTCTTTTCAACTATCAAGTGGAATTAGTTCCAGGAGTTTAAAGGATATTGATTTTGGCATATTACATGAAACTCTTCCAGAAGAAGTTGGTCACTTAAGTCTTAATAGCTCTAGTAGTACAGAGGCCAATTTTAAACTGGAACCAGATAGTCCTATGCACGGCGGCATTTTTCCTGAAGATGTTGTGGGAGAAAGACCGACTACTCCAGAATCAGACTTTAATTTACAGGCTATTTGCCGTCGGTACGAAGCTCTGAAAAAATCTCTGCCCAAGAAAAGAGAAGAAACTGACTTTTTGAATTCTGAAACACTTGAAAGACACAAACCAGAATTGAGCCCTATTCCCACAAACATGCAAACAAATGATATGCTTGACTTTTTGGACAGTTGGAATTTGCACAGTGATTATACAAAACCATCTTTACGCGTGTCCCTTGGTGAAAGAAAACGGTCTCTTTCACCACTAATTAAGTTTTCTCCAGTGGAACAAAGATTGAGAACCACAGTAACTTGTAGTTTTGGAGAACTTCTACCTAATTTAAAAGGTAAGATTTAACTAGACCTGTGCAATTGACCTATAGAAGTTTTTTCTCCACTTCTATGTTTTTTTTTTTAATTAAAAAAAATTTTTTTTTTTTTTTAACAATTAGAAGAGCGTGAGCAGGGGAGGGTCAGGGAGAGGAAGACACAGAATCCGAAGCAGGCACCAGGCTCTGAGCTAGCTGTCAGCACAGAGCCCGACACGGGGCTCAAACCCATGAACCATGAGATCATGACCTGAGCCGAAGTTGGTCGCTTAACCAACTGAGCCACCCAGGCACCTCTGTTTTTCTCATCTTCTAACAGTAGTATGCAGCGAGTGCTATGTGACCTTTATTGTGGATGTGACAAAATATGCTCGGTGTTCCCTCAACTTGGATGAGAAGAGGGAACATATCACTTCTGTGAGTTCTTTTTGAATCTCAAGTGATGTGTATATAGTTCACAGTTAGTGTGGGACAGGGGTGGAAAATGAAACCAAAACCCGGAAACCACTTGCTTTTAGAATACAAATAAATCTCGTCAAAATCTTGGTTGATGGAAGATGGTTCTAGAAATGTTGAGTAATGGGGGTTCCTGGCTGGCTCAGCTGGAAGAGCATGTGACTCTTCATTTTGGGGTCGTGTTGGGTGCAGAGATTACCTAAATAAATTTAAAAAAATTAGAAATGTTGAGTAACACTATGTTAAATAGCCTTCTTGTAATCATATAATATCTGTGATTGCTTTGAAATAAATTTGAGGGGGATGGGTGACAAAATAGGATAGGTTAGTGTATTAATTTCCTGGGGCTGCCACAAACTAGGTGGCTTCAAACGACAGAAATGTATTGTCTCTGAAGACAATACGTCCTGGAGGCTAGAATCCAGAATCAAGGTGTGGGCACAGCTTCTCCAGCCTCTAGAGGAAGAGCCTTCTTGCCTCTCCCAGCTTCTGGTAGCCCCCAGAAGCTCCTTGGCTTGTGGTAGCACAGCTCTCATGTCTATCTCCATCTTTACATGGCTTTCTCCTCTTGTGTGTCTCTTTGCCTTCTTTATAAGGACACTAGTCATAGAGATTGAGGGCCCACCCTACTCCAGAATGACCTCGTCCTAACTGATTATACCTTTAATGACCCTCTTTCCAAATAAGGCCATGTTCTGAGGTGCTGGGGTTAGAACTTCGTATTTTTGGGGGGACACAATTCAACCCCATAACAATATTAATAATTATTGAAGCTGGATAATGGATATATTGGGCAATTAAATTTTTCTTTACTTTTGTATATTTGAAAATTGTCATCATTGGGGTGCCTGGGTAGCTCAGTCAGTTAAATATCTGACTCTTAATCTTGGCTCAGGTCATGATTTCATCATTTTTTGTTTGAACTCTGTGTCGGGCTCTGTGCTGACTGGGCAGAGCCTACTTGTGATATTCTCTCTCTCCCTCCCTCTCTGCCCCTTTCCTTCCTGTGTGTTCTCTTGCTCTCTCTCTCAAAATAAATAAACTTAAAAAAAATTGTCATCATAAACATTAAAAAAAAACAAAACCCTGCTCTAAAAGTATTTTAGAGCAAATGCAGATCTGGTGATACAGATTCATTATATATCACTGTGTTTGCCAGTGGTAATTAAACACTCATATATTGAGAAGTATTCTAAGAGGGATGTATTGATACTCTGTGAGGAAAGGTATCACAGTGAGAATACTGTTAATTTTTATTGTAGGTAAGTATTGACGTGAACTTTTTACTTAAGAAGACTCAAATTTGCCATTTCTTAGAATCTGTCCTATTTAGTTTTTTTCTTTGTAATGAATGTTTACTTATCCTTTTCTCTTTTTAAAATTAATTTTGCAGAAGAAGAAGTCTTGAATAAGAGCCTTGATGCAAACAAATCTCCATCAGACTTGAAAAGATGAAGCAGAGTTTCCAGTTAATTTAACTATGATGTACTTAACATTTCAAGCAGTCACAGGATAAAAACTGATTTATAATTTAAATACACGTTGGAAGTGTAACTCTTTTTTCAAGGCCTAAAAAAATCCTAAATGATGCCTTTTAGCAAACAGTTTTTAGGTAAAGAGAGTATGTTTGGATTCTCTTTGTATGGCTATGAGGTTTAAATGTGAAGTATTTGGGAGGTAGACCTCATGTTATGTGAAGGCATTTTGATTCTTTGAATAACTTGTAAGCGTTAAGTAAATAGCAAAGTAGTTTAATTTATTATGTTATAATTTCAGTTGATTAATGTAAACATGAGTGGTTTTTGATATACTTTTATTAAGTGGTTAACATAATAGCCATTGAATATACTGACCTTTCATTTTAGGGAAATATAGAACTTCTACTGTTTCTTTATGGAACATTATAGTACTAACCAAAAAAACTGATTAAAGTAGTGCCTTGGGATGTGTAGTCAAGGTGAGGAAAATTTAAGTTTGGGAAAGCTCTAAGCAGGCTTAATGATTATTTAAGTAGGTTGGTCCTGGAAAATGTTTGATGGAATAAAATGTATGTGATGAAAAGTGAAGACTGGGGCGGGATGAATTTAGATAAAAGGAAAAAGATGGAAGATGACTAGACATTTTTAAGGAACACTGTCAAAAACTATAAATCCATTCAATGGGTTGTGCAGCAGATTTACATTTAGTCTAATTTAGACTTTGAGAATTTAGCCCTAGTTTTATATTTTAACAAAAGATGTAAATTAAAAAAACTTTATTAGTCTCTGTTTATTGTTGGTTTATTTGTGGGGGGGGTTGGTTTTTAGGGAAAGGAGCTAGTTTTGATTGTGTTACTTTTCTTCTCAAAAACCATCAGTTCCCCACTGCCTATGAATAGCCTCAGAATAACTTGAGAAAACTGAATTTGGGGTGCTTGCTTAGTCACATAGTGATGTCTTTGGTGAAGCCAAGGTTTGACCCTATTTTCTTCCGTAATATTCTACAAGACCTTCAAGAAGTAACTAAAAGGCCAGGATAAACAATATGGCCAAGGGAGTTGGCCTGTTGATCTTCTGAACTGAGTGGGGAATCACATGTGAGGCCTCCGGTTCAGTAACCTGCCTCACTCTGTCATGCTCCCCAGCTGGGAAAGTGACTTGTCTCTGCCATCCAGGTGTATGCATGCCATCGCCCTCTGTGGACCAGGAGGAATGAGCAGGCACTGGAAAGGTGATAGCACTTACCCTGTCTAGCCCCAACTCTTAAGCATTAAAACCTTGTTCATTTCTCAAGAAACTGTAAAGGAGAGGAGATTAAGTTGAAGGGGGGAGTTCTGGAAGTGCATGGGCTTAATTGTTCATCTTTCACTGTGGGCTTTCTCTGAGTTTGATCTCAATTTGAAGGCCAGTCTTTTTGTGAGAAAAGAGACGAAAAGTGTATATAACTGCTTTATTTGCTGTGGAAAAGAAAGAGGAAGAACAGCTTCAAAGGTGTTATATTCTCTTATTTGTTAACACAACCATTGGTGACTGTAGGTCTACTGGGAAACTATTCTCTATAGGGTGCCCTAAGAAAATGCACTAACCTGTAAATCCAAAATTAACATGGTAGGGAGGAGGTAGGGCTATCATATTAGCATTTACAAGGTGCTGGGGCCATTCCTAGACATTAATACATATTGTTTAACTGTCACAACCCTTAACTGTAAGATAGAGATTATTATACCTGTTTTATGGACAAAGATACTGAAGGTAGGGAGCTTAAATGATTTGTCTAAGATGGACTCAAGGAATCATCTGAGAACCTAAAAACTGGAGATTCTGTAGATCTTAAATGGGGCTTAAGAATCTACATTTTGATTATGCTTCCCTGGTAATTCTTAGGCTCAATAAAAAGACTGAGAACCACTGCTAGAGGATAGAGTCACATTAGCCTTGGGGTACTTTTAAAATGCAGGTATGTGATTACATATATACTGCTTTAGAAGTTAATGGATAAGGAAGCTCAAGTTCATCATTAAGGGTCATAGGCCCTTAATTACTGAAGTCAAAAGAAAATGTCTCTGGACAGTATGGGTTTACAACAACCACATTACCAAGTGAGACCCGTGGTAGGTTGGGAGTTTTGGCATTCTTTCCTGTCCTTTATATGCCAGTAGTATGAACAGAAATATCTCAGATCTATTATTTTCTCCTAAACCATTGTGGGTATGACTTACTGCCTTCAGCTTCTTCCTTATTCAGTATTGCCTGCGTAGCTACCTTTTGATATTAAGGGACTGTTTTGATCACTTAGTTTAAAATTCCATTCATGGTTTATTGCCAGTTCCAGGATAGAGTTCAAATTTGAAGGCATATAAGGTTCCCTATGTAGATTCCTTTATCCCCCCCTTCCACTATGGTTTCCTGTTTTTTTTACTTCTGAAATGAGATGGTGAGTGTGGGCCTTTAGAAACCTTAATTCACAATTACAGCTGTCTTTTAGGGCTCAGAACAAATCTCACTTCCACCTTGAAGTCTTAATCTGTCCCTTCCATATTCATGGGCCTACCCCTTCTCTGAAATCTATGGTTTATCTTTTATTCATTTAGTGTTTTTCACTTAATGCTTTTAGAATATTTTATGGTTGTATGTGATCTCAGTCAGTACATACAGACATATATACCTATGTAGATGTATGAGTCCTGTGTCCATGCATACATATCCTGAAGGGCCATGGATCATCTTTAGCAAATACTGAAGTATTGGAATTGTTTTCTTTGCCTCCTATGTAAATTAATTAAAATAAAATAATGGTAAAGACTTTACTGCTGTAAATGTACTTTTTCTCATTACATTCAAAACAGGTTATACAGAATGTACCTTGTTTTATTCACTATTAATTTGTAAGATGTGTGTGAATTGACTTCTGTGTCAACTTGAAACTAGAAATGAATGACAAAATGTCCTAATATTTTGTCCTAGTTGTTTTAAATGTTTAAAGAGGACAAGCAAGTAATGTTTAACATGGAAAATGTTATCAGTCAAATGGAATAAGAGGTTTTGAGACTAAAAAAGACATTTTGGGGGACTTTAATGAAAAAAGAAACAAGTATTTTGAGAATATCCTTTACCATCATCTATGAAGTCAGTTTTATCTAAAGGAAAAAACAGGAATTCTTGAGACTTTAATAAAGGAAACCATGTTTTTTTCCTACTCTTAGTATATTAAACTAAGTAAATATTTAAGGACATTTTCCTTAATGTAAAAGTACTTGCAAAGGTAAAATTCTTCCACATTATGTTGCAGATAAATAGTTGCTCTTTCTCCTTATGCACTGTGAAAGTCAAGTCCACAGGCTAAATTTAAAATATTTGTGAGTCCTCTATGAGACTATTTGTAAATATGTTCTACTTACTAGTCTTGAATATTCAATATTATTCCATCTGGCTCTGGAATTTCCTATATAATATCAAAGAACCATGCCCCGCAAATCCTAAGATGATCACATAAAAATGTATATCAGAGGGGTGCCGGGTGACTTCGCTCAAGTCATGATCTCATGGTTGCTGAGTTTGAGCCCTGCTTTGGGCTTTGTGCTGAAAGCCTGTTTCAGATTCTGTGTCTCCCTCTCTCTGCACACCCCTCCCCCCTCCCCCGCTCATGCTCTGCCTTTCTTTCTCTCTCTCAAAAATAAACATTAAAAAATTCTTTCAAATAAAGGTTTATCAGTAACTTGATCAAACAAAAGAAATTTGAGAGGTTAAGTGATTCAGGTAAAAGTATTTTGTTACTGCCATTTTAATTAGATTTACGAAGTATTTTTAAATGATTTTAAAAAGGAAATTTATCCTTAACAATTTTTAAAATCTGGAATCTTTATACTTACTGCCCAAGGCCATAATTAGAAGAGCTTAATAACTCACATAAGGACAGCTTTTGTGTTTTTAATTTTTTTGATGTTTATTTTTTAAAAAAAATTTTATAGTTTATTTTTGAGACAGAGAGCACGAGCTGAAGTCAGACGCTCAACTGACTGAGCCACCCAGGCGCCCCGATGTTTGTTTTATTTTTGTGTGAGAGACAGAGCATGAACAGGGGAGGGGCAAAGAGAGTGGGACACAGAATCCAAAACAGGCTCCAGGCTCTAGGCTCTGAGCTGTCAGCACAGAGCCCCACACGGGGCTTGAACTCAAGAACCGCCAGATCATGACCTGAGTGGAAGTTAGCGCTTAATGGAGTGAGCCACCCAGGCACCCCTGAATAGCTTAATTCTTCATGGGTAGGGACTTTGTCATTCACAGCTGCTGCTGTAAAGTGTTGAAATAAGTTGATAAAGCGTTGGAAATCCTAAACCCGTTATTTACATTTAATGTCTGTATACCAAGGTAATGCGTCATTTGTAAAATAAGAGGTGAGAGGAGTTGATCAGAGAGGTCTCTTGGCTCTAAAACACTTAGATTTCATTAAAAGAGTATGGGAGAGGATGCTTTACGTGTTTTCTGATTTCACTGTGCCCCATTGCCAATCCAAATTAGGAACCTGGAATCCTTCCCTAAAACTGGTGACCTAAGAATCTGATGCAATATTACCCAATTTCTGATAAAGATGGGGAAGTGATTTTGCCCAGGGTGAATGAAACACTTTCTTAGAAGTCCCTTAACTCCCTGGGCTGCAGTTTACGTAATCTGTAAATTTAGGGCAATTATATGGAGGAATAGCGTACAACTGAAAATCTAGGATTTTTATGATGAATTTTGCTGTCAATGGAAGAAGTAGTGGGGAGTAATGGTTAGGAGAGGGATAGGTCTGTAATACCGCCTGGGTTCAGCTGTTTGACCTTAATGAGGTCATATGTTTTCTAACCTATTAAGGGATTAAAAGTAATTTACCTCAGGTTGTGTGGATTAAGTAAGAAAATACACATCAAGTACTTAAGAATATCTGGCATTTCGTAAGGGGTCAAATATTTAGCTAGGCTTCAGTCTAGTAATTTGGGAGTAGGTAATTGGGAGCAGGTTAAAGAGAGAATGGCTCAGGTGGTGGATTGACAGCTGACACTTCCATAGTAGTGTGTCAGGCACCATTCTAAAAGCTTTCCAGGTTAAATTTTTAAACATAGAATGCTATAAGTAGTGCTAGTCTTATCCACATTTGACAAGTGAGAAAAGAAATTAAGTACCTGGCCCAGTTCATATAGCGATCAAGTGAAGGGAGGAGAATATGAACTCAACTCAGGTGGTGTAGCCTCAGAACCCCCTACTCTTAATTGCGGTTACAGCTAGTATGAAATACCGGTAAGGGGATAGGGGCTCAATCACAAATTTAAATTTGCCAGTTAAGCAATACTTGTGGACAGTTAGAATCTAGGTTTACATTACCTTTTAACTACCTTCAAATTATTTCAAGTAAGACCGTATTTTAACTTGCTGACAGCAAACGTTTATTCATGATTGAAGCGAGAAGAATTTGTAAATGCGTTTTAATATCTTGCTGATAAAATAGTAACATTCCATCTTTGCAATCTTGGAAGGAATACAGGGAAGATACTGTAAAGGCTTTAATGTGTATATCTATTATAACCAGGTAATCAACACACACACGCACGCACACACACCACCTACTTTAGTGTTACACCATACCAACTTTTCAGAAAGGCCATCTTGAAGGTCTACTGGAGAGCTGAGTAAATAGCGTCCAAAGTTTGAAGACAAGGGCGGGGGATGGGGGGAGTAGGAAAGAAAGAGATGGAAGTAGTAAGCAGCACACATTTCAAAGCCCACTTTTAAGCACACGACATTATGAATATTTAAAATAAAAAAGGATGCGGGGGACGGGGCAGGGAAGGCAATTCAGCATTTTCTCAAAGAGCATTTGGCAATATTCAACGCATAAGGAGGCTGTGCTTGGGCCCATCCACTCGCTCGAGCTTCTCAAAGTGTTTCCTGGCATTGCGAATGTTGATCAGGGTGGCCGCCGAAGGGATGGACGGATCCGACATAACCACCATCACGTACGTGTTCGACGTGAAGATGTCGATGAAAGCGGCGAAGTTAGAATTCCGAACCTCCATGCTCTGGAAGGAAGCGGCCAATTTACTGCAGCTCAGCTTGAACTGCTTAATGATGTTGCTGATCTTCTCAAACCGGTGGACGTCACGCTGCTCTTTGCATTGGTAATGGGAAATGACCAAGAACGTAGCTCTCTCGAACAGCAGGACTTCGTCCGCCTCGATAATTTGGGCAAAATTCCTTAGGTTCATCTCCAGCTGCTGGACATTGGGAATGAGCTGGTACACAATACTGGACCAGGCTTTGTAGAGCGTTTCGTCCCAGATGGAGGTTCGAAAACAAGCGCATTCCAGGGGGCGAGACAAACGCCGCAGGTCTTCCTCCCGCTCCTTGAAAATCAGGTCGCGCTGATCCTCCTGAACCAGATCCATTTTGTGCACCAGGCAGAAGATTTTGGCATCCGGAGAGTTCTGGAGGATGGCCTCCAGGCACGACTGGTAATAATGCATATCCTTTTCCAGTTCGCGGCTCTCCACGTCAAACACATAAATCAAAACCTCGACATTACGGAAGATGTTGTCGCGCTGGCTGGTGAAGTAATTTTCCATGAAGGTGTCCTGACCGCCACAGTCCCACAGGTTGAGCACCAGGTTGCCCAGAAATCGGACGTGGGAGTGCTCCACATCGATGGTGGCGCCCAGGCGCCGGGTGTCGCGGGCGATGTAATTTGCAAAGATAATCGAGCGCATGCTGGTCTTCCCCGAGCCGCTCTTCCCCATCAACAGCACCTTTTTCTTC